AGCTAGGAAGTAGCCGAACGTTTGGAACGCGATTCCTTCCGCGAAGAGCGATTATCGCGACGCCAGCCGAAAACTGGCGGAGATTTGAAATCTTCGGGCCGCCGTAGCGACGAGCCAATCGCGACGGCCGGACGCGATGTGACGTAAGCGAGTCCCGGCGGATATCGAGAATCTCTCTGCCTCTCCGTGACGAGCCAATCAGGCGGCGCGGATATTTCCGCTTTCGGCGGTGGTTGCGTTTGCTGCACCCGGGGGGCGGGGGGGCCTGTTACGTATCTTTTCACGAGGTGAAAATGCGAAAACTGAACAGATTTACTAGATTTCGACCAATGAAATAGTAGATACTCTAGTGAATTCTCTCACTTTTCGCATTTTCGCGACCTCGTGAAAAGATACGTAATCTAGGTCCCCTCTGACGCGAATCAAAAGTGCACAGTGGCGCACATTAAGCTCGTATCAGATCGAGCGGCGATTAAGGTCGAGCCAGACAAAAATTGATTGGTCCGTATATTACATGTGCATAACGAAATGGACCAATCCATTTCCTTATGCAAATGCTTATGCACCTATATGCAAGTTCGTCTGGATAGGCCTTAAGGGCTCTCTCACACGTAGACTTCGAGCTACCTGATTGGCTGAATTCCAGCTGATTCGCTCCGGTTCGCTATAATAAGATTAAATTAAAGAATGATCGCAACGGAATGAATAAATTTAAAATTAGCCAATTAGCGATAAAATTTCGATCAGAATCCGTTCCGGAAAGCTACATAAAGGTTTAGGCCCAGTTTTACAAGTGTCGGTTAACTTTTAACCTTAAATTAAAGGGGGACGTTAGAAGGAGACGAAGAGTGAGTTAATCTAAGATTAAAAGTTAACCGATACTTGTGAAACTGGGCCTAGAAATCTATTCTGCAAACGCCATTACGTCATTATGTATGTACTTTGCGCAAATATAATATATGTAACAAAACACACAAACACACACACACACGCACGCGCCCACGCACACGCACACGCACGCACACACACAAGAACGTAATCGGAGCAGCAAAATAACGACATACCTGGCAATAATCGCGTGTCTGTCTTGATGCACCTCGATGCACCTTCGCACCTCGGAGAAAAAATAACCTCGGCCGGCTTCATCTCCCTCTCGTCTGCCGTCACCTGCCGTTTCGGCTAGTATATATCAAGTGTCACCGACACCGAGATCGTGATATCCGCGCGCGACAACGTGCACACGACGTTCATTATCACGACCGATCCGTACGCGATACCGCCAACGAACGGTTCCCGATGCACGAAATTCACTCTCAGGTAGCGAAGAACGGTCGGAGCTATTCAAACGCGGCTTCGCGCTTGATCGTGGACCGACTTCGAGAATCGCAATATCGCACTCTCGATACCCAGATCCATCAGAGCGATCGAAGCGGACCAATCGCGACGGTCGATTAGCGCGGAAACGAAATTCGAAATATCTTGACGATACCTGGAAAACGTTTTTGAAATGAGATCAGTCGCGATAATTCCTTTGTTTTTTTTAAATGTAATTTTCGACATGAGAATGATGGATTGAAACACTAAAATGCGCGGCGGAAACAATTCGTTGACATTTAAGTAATTCGCGTGCTTTCGAACGTTCGAAACATCTCAAGTCCGATACGTAAAATTAAATATGCCTAATCTTCGAAGTTAGCAAAAATTCTAAAATATTATATTTCGCTTATATTAGATATATAAAAATTATAGTATTCCTTTCCGTCCCAGTATCGTTATTATTATTCCTTTCGTTTAAATTCTTCTGTAACACAATTTAATAATTTATTTTTTTGTTTAAGTAAAACTAAAATCCTAAACAGCGTAAAAGATATTGCAGATATACTAAAATGTGCAGCGTCGAGTTTCTCTATCGCATAAACCTTTTATATCTCACGCTTCTCCATTAACTACAGTAATATCCTCCAGGCACTAAAGTGATCCTGTAGCGTCTAAGTTTAACGTACGAAGCGAAAGCTTTCTTAAAACGTTCTTAAAGTAAAAGCTTCCTTAAAATTTTCTTAAAGCAAAAGCTCACAAATTGCCCTTTTCACACAATTTATGTATTTTTTCCTCTACACATCGCACCTTTCTATTACGTCATCACAAAGGATATTCCGACGGGAACAAACTTAAATGATGAAGACTACACGATGCGGGTACATTTGTTGCAGGGAAGTTTCGCAAGGAGTTCAGGCGTACCTTCCGGTGCTCCCACGGCGACGGAACCTGCGCTCACAAACGCGGATACGTCGCGGGTATCGCGGACCCGCTTAAACACAAATCTCGAAATTACACGAGATCAATTCGCACGACGTCCAACAGTAATAACGTTCAGCGAAGCACCGAGATCATACCTCTCAGTGCCATAATCAGTGTACCGCAAAACGTGAAGCAAGAATGAGCCTCTCGTTTCTCGTACCCTAAAACTACGCCAAATGTTCTTTTCCAAATTCTTTAAACCAATTTGAAAGCCACAACTTTTCTTCACAAAAATGCCGAGGCATGTACAATAGTTTTTCGATAATTAGCAACTGGAAAGTAACCGATTCCTGACGAGTCAAGATCCAAGAGGAAACAGGCGAAAGTCATTGACAATTTAAAAAATTGCGATAAATGATCTTTATCATTTTTTCAGACGAGAAATATCATCAAGATTGATCGAAGAAAATTATAGTTAAAAGAACATTTGACGAGATGCGCTTTGTATACTGCAATAAAGTATAGTTCTCGAAAGCTCAGTAATATTCGTAGATGTGATCGAGTTGAGTTGTTCCTATGTACTGTTTAAGTAAGCCTCGTTCAACAAACTTTCTTAAAGTTTCGTTGAATTTAAATGAACTGAGTCACATAGTATTCAATTAATATGTAAATAGGCGATTATAATATGTATATACTGAGATGTGCACGACGATATCGTTGAGATTTTTGCTGCTTTAAACATTTTACTTTATTATACTGTAGATATAGATGTAATAACAATGTACATCACAGATCGATAACTGAAAAATTGGAGACCTAAAGAGACGCACGTTTAAAATTCAACAGAATAAACGCAAGAGTGTAAATATAAAGCGTTATATTCTACCTATTCCGGCACTTAAAAGCACTCAGTTATGCTTCGTTTTCGTGTGTTACACTTGCGATTATTTATTTTTCCTATAATACAATCGATATATCAATCAAAATATATCTACAAAGTTTAATAAAGTGTACGTAATCCTAACGTTTAAAGCTTAAAATTATTATATAAAGTTATTACTAGTAATATTAGTTTTTATAAACTGTACAATATGCTACAGCGAATGACGTATTCTTCCTCTCGCTCCGTTTCCACTTAAATTTACATTTTTATTGCGCAGAAGTGCCGTTCACCGTGTATAAATCCCTTTTATCGAGAGTTTTTATATCTTTTTTTTTTCAATAGAATTTTGTTTAAGGCTTTGCATAATTTTGCCGTATATTCCTAGACGTTAATAATCGTGGCGAGTTAAAAATGAAATTAATTGATCGCTTCGTCTCATTGCCGCTCTCGCTGTTTTTAATGTATTCACAAAAATAATTATCTACTTCATTGATTAAACACTCTAGTATATTCGAGTTAGATCTTAGAGGCATATCTTAATATCGCAAAAGAAAAAAAAAAGTACTTTATATTATCTTTATGACAACGGCCGGAAACGTGTAAATAAAATATAATAAAAGAGAATTCATCATAATATAGAAGAGAAAACTAAAAAGATATCCGATGAACTGTTCACATTCCTGTTGTGCTTCCGCATATTTTCTTTTCTGCAAAATAAGACCGTGGTCTCTTCTCTTTTCAAACGAAGCTAGGAGACGAGAAAAAAGAGTGCAGAAATGCGTAAGGAAGGCAGACGGATAGAACAGACATCTGTTAAATTAAATATTATCCCGATTGCATGTAAAAAAAAAAAAAGATTATTTCTATACACATACAAAAAGATGCACACTTACATTATTCAATGAAATGTATTTCGTTAATATTATAACTACAAACATTCCTGCACTGTAGGTAGTTATAACATTGAAAAAAGTATATGTAATAGAATTACCGTGTCAATCCATGGCCCGCGCAGCTGCCAAGTATATTACATTAGTACACGGTAACGTTCCTCGCTAAATATTGACCAGTTATAGATAGACTTCGTATATGAAAAAATCATCGTTACCTAATATTCCAGGCAATAATAACTTCAGCGCGTTAAGAGGCTGCTATTTTAGATATTATTACAAATATGGATTATAGTTCCCATATGTTAATACGCTTTTTTTACATGCTTTAAACTTATATTTAATAGCATTATTCGCGTATCGATTTTTTGAAAAACTTTTTTACCCCGAAGCAATTATCAGTAAGGCTTTCAAAAGCTTCATATCCGTCACTGCAGTCATATATAATATATAATATAATATGTTGCATCATTATTGCGTAAAAAAAATTATTACAAATAAAAAAAAAATTTCATTAAATTTTTTCACATGTAATTTGATTTACACACACATGCATTGTATCGTTTTGTTCTCTTATTTTACGAGATACCTTTGTAAGTCCAATTTCAACCAAATTCATATGGGTAAAAGTCTAATTCATTTTGTTACACAAAATAAATTAACCCTTAAATGCCACACCTCTCAAGAATCTCGTAAATGACATGAGGGGTCTAAAAGACCCCAGCATGAAAAATGTCTCCTTACTCATTGATTTTTTTTATCTTTAGTTATAAAAATTTTTTTCAATGTTGTTCAAGGCTTAGAAAAGAGAATAAAATGCTTATGTTGTTAAAATTTCAATTTAAACATAGTATAAAAAATTAAGTAAACTGAGTACTGCTAAGTGTACAAACGGGTAGGTCAATCACTCAACTATCATCAATGGGAGCATGAGCTCCACTTTTGGCAAGAACATTTGAAAATATATCATTGTACAGGGTCTGGGGTCCGCTGGACCCCAGGGGGCATTTAAGGGTTAAATAAATCATGAATTCTATAAAATAAATCATGATTTTTCGTTTTTAAACCGTTAAATGGCTATAGTGGCGGATCAATGGCCTTAAAGCTACACGTCGCGGTTTACACGTCAGATAGCTAGTTTACTGCAACTGCATTCGAGAAACGATAATTTTAATATCTCTCGATCTGTTATAAAATATAGTGCATTCAAAGCACTTCTCCGAATACGAATTGATTAATAGTTATTCTGCATCCCTGATTCTACAGCGAAAGATTGCATGGGCAATTGCATTACAGAATAAATATACGATTATGGGTATGCGAATAAACTAGAAACGTTTTCGAAGCAACGTTTCGCCCACGCGCGTCGTGTATAATTCCGCGAAGCGACACTTCAACGCGCGGCAAATCGCGGGGAAAAACGTTCGTATGAATACGAAGCGTAAAATGTTAACAATCACGCTTATTTAGGCTGCAGCTTTCTCGACGATGGTACTTTCGGGGATTGCGGATTCAATGTTACCTAATTCAGTCTCGACGCCGGCCAATGTCTGTGGGGTTGGACTGTGGGAAACAGCGTTCTTCTCGTTAGAAGTTGCTTCTAATAGTTCCTTAACACTGACGCTATCGTCCAAATTATCTTTTCTAACGGGTGACGCGTCAATCTTTATATGAGCGTCGGCATTGGCGATGATCTCTACCTTCCCGTCCATATCGTTCACTGCTCTGATCACGTCTGGAGCCTGACTGTTCTGGGATTCCTGACTCGGCGTGCACGGCTGCTCGACTTGCGCACTGTCAAATTGTCCCGGCACGGGTTTCTCGTCACTTTCCATCGCGTTACCGCTCTTGACTTCGTGTTCAGTCTGTTGCGCGTTACCACCAGATTGATTATTCTGATACTGCTGAGTGCTTCTACCTCTTCCTCTGCCGCTCTGCTGATTATCAGGTGGTGGAAGAATAGGTATAGCCGCTTTCGGTCGCCGCAAAGGAACTGCTTGTTGCTGTTGCTGTGCGGGACTATAGTAAGTACACCCTTGCGGTTGGTACAGTTCTTGGGGCGGTGGTGGACCCTGAGGCTACAATATTAAATTACACAAAATTAAATATGGAGCATTTATATTATATGGCATCCATCTTTTTGCGATTTTCTTTTTCACTTTGATATTTAAAAAGATTTATTCTTCTCACCTGTACCGAAGGATTATATCCCTGGTAACCTTGAAAGTTTGGTGGAAACGTCGGGCCATTTGGACCGGGAACATAATTAATTATACTAGGAGGTGCTGTTTGAGGTGGTATAAATTGTGGTGGTGGTACTAAAAACGGTGGTGGCGCGTAGCTAGCAGCTTGCCCACCGGGTGGTAGAGAAATGACAGGTTGCCCTGCCATGGGTGCTGTGGCTGGAGCGACCGGAGAAGACTGCTCAAAATGACCTTGTGGGTAACCTAAAACGTTAACGCATGATAAATCAGTTTGCAATACCTTATAAACTAAATTGAAAAAATATGTTTAATCAATCAAACAAGATCTGTGCATAAAAAGAATTATATATCTTATTATCACCATTGCAAAATATTATAAATGTGAAATAATAATTTTCTTTTATATTCTTTATCGCATAATTTTTTTTTTAGTTTTTCTGGAAAAAAAAATATTGTAAAAAAGATATTTATCTGGGGATAATTAGATAGCTTCTATATGCACTTTTAACTTCTATATACATATATTTTTTTTTTCTTACCTGGAGATTCCAAAACGGCTCTTGAATTTCCAGCTAGGTACGCATATGCACAAGCGACACATTAATGTTAAGGATGTTAAGTACATGCTTGTATTAGGCCATGTAAAAGCATATATCATAAGAAATGGATTAGAAACATGCGTTAAAGTAAGATATATTATCAACGTGTGCAATGTCATTACCTTGAGGTGGAAAATATCCGTGTTGAGTATGTTGAGATGGATAATTCTGTTGCGTGGAAGTTTCCGAAATGGTAGGTCGTTGACGAAGACTGGAATATCGTTTAGGTCTGTTTCCAGAACTATCCTGTTGTTGCTGTTGTTGTTGTATTGTCTGTTGTTGTGAATGCGTTTGTTGCTGATGTGATTGTTGTGGTTGTTGTTGCTGCTGCTGCTGTTGTTGCATTCTAGGTGGTACTGTGTTTGATCTGTGTTGGTTGGAGGACGTGAAAAAACCTTCTACAAATTAGAAAAAAGATTAAGTTAGACATATTTGCAGCTGTATATAGTAAAAATTTAAGCAACAATAAGAAATTTTCTAAGAGAAGAAACAAATCAATTTTTTATATCTAGATTCCTAAAAATATCTCTCAGAATGTTTAAATTAGTTTTTACATTAATTTAATTATCAAATAAATATTTTGAATTAGACATTTTTTAATTATTAAAAATACTAAAAAAAAATAATCTCACATAAAATAAAAAAAGTATAATTACTCAATTTAATCGATAAATTAAATTGTTAATTTTATTTTTAATTTTCTCTAACGTTTTCAAGTCTTGTCGTTAAAGAGAAATTTGACTATTAATATATTTATAAAATTTCTTATTCTTTTAATATCGCTATACTTGACAAAAACTCACTGTTGTGTCGCGCAGGCTGATGATATTGACCACCATCGTTAATATTGAGTTGCTGTTTCATGTCATGAGCAAGTTGATGCTCTTCATTATGCTGCGCGGTGTTATTCCTTCTATTCTCTACTGTAACCGGACCCGGGCCACGTCCTTTCGATTTATTCTCAACTATTCTGTTAGTGACCATGTTGTTATTAGCATTGGGCTTGAAACCTCTTCCGCGCGTCCTACTCGCGGCCAAGCTTACAGACTCTTGGGTATTCCTCTTGTTATTCTCCCTTAGGGATGGCTTGGTACTAGCTAATTTTTCCGCGTCACCGCCAGAACCAGGGCTTCCGTTTGTATTTTGAGTAACGTGTCTACCGTCCTTTTTCCAAGATGTATTAGTAGATTCATCTGATGACGCTTTATTTTCATTTCTGCAATAACATTTTTGTTCAAGATTCCGTCATCTTATTGTCACACAATAAAATTGTTAAATATAAAAAAAGAAATGTTACACATACATGGATGTATTGGAGGCGCTAGCAGGCTTAGTATTTACATCATCCTGTTGGGACTGAAGTGGCGGGAAGTTTTGGGGTTTGTTCGGTGTTTTGTTCTTGCTGCTATACCATGCCGACGAAATTACAGGTTCCTCTACCTTGCTCGGAGTATCCTGTATCAAATAAGAGAGAAACAAAACAAAGATATTCAATAACACTTGCAATAATCAATCGCGACAATCAACGTATATTTTGCGGCATTTACCTTACTATTACCAAGAGCAGGAAAATCTTCGTTATTTTTTTGGAAGCGTCTGTTGCTTGGTCTACCAGGTGTGGCCTTTCCATAAGCGTTTTCGTCCTCCCAATTCCTTGTGTACTTGTTGGGTCCACGGCTAGAAAAAATATGTGATATGTATATAATACAATGAAATCAAGATTTATAAAAAAAAAAACTCCGTGATAAACTCACCCATATCTTCTTCTCCTTCTAGCTCTAGGTGGCCCTTCTTCGTTTCTAATATCATAACCGTACGTTGCTATCAATTCCTCGGGTCTTTTTGGAGCTTGCTCTTCGTCATTGTATCGGTCGTGGTCCCACCTGTCTTCCTTATCTTTCCACACCTTCTTCTCCTTGGTCTCCTTCACATTCGTTTGCTGTTCCGTGGTACTTTCAGGTACTTCGTCAGTCGTACGATCATCATGCTCGTAAAACGTTCCTCGTTTCGGTATATACTGCGGATTACGCCTGTCCTCGTCGTCGTCCAACTTTTTCTGCGGTTTCTCCTCTTCCTGCCCATCCCCACTTTCACGTTGTTCCCCGCCTTCTTGCGACTCGACATCAGAGTCGCTTTCATAAATGTCACATTCTGAATCTTGATGCCCATCAGTCTGTTCGCTACTCTGTAAAAAAAAAATAAAAGATTGGTCAATGTAACATGTCCAAATTAGTTCCGAATTAAAAGATTCATAGATGGCCAGAATTTAATCAATTTTCAATTATTTATTAACTGTGTATTTTTAATTTATATGTATGTTTTATTTATGTGTGTTAATTACAACATGTATATATTCTATTTTCTATTTTCCTGCAATTAATAGATATCTCCTTCAGTCTATTGATTGATTCCACTGATTAGTTATCTGTGGTTCTTTATCTAGCCAATATAATCATCAAAGGAAAAACAATACAATCCTATTAAACCGCATAAACTAACTAAAGTGAAAACTAAAGTGAAGATAACAGATTTTTTTCTTTCTTGCCTCTCTCTTCTATCTTTCACATTTATCAAAGTGTAAAACTCTATTAAAAAGTATAGGGCTCATATTAAACAATTTTTCGCTGGCTCTTTTGCGCAATAATTCTCTGGCAAACTAACAGCTAATTTTTTCTGTAAACGAAAGATTTGATTAATTGTAATATCTCTACATATTAATTTGACATTTCTCTAATTAATTTTAAATATTGAAATAAAATTGAAATTAGCTAACAAAAAAGACGTAAGCCTGATTCATGTATCATTTTAAATTGTATCTTTAAAATAATACTATTCGTCGCAAAGTTATAACTTTAATAGAAGTACACAAATCGCAACTCTCTCAGTCTGGATATACCAACACATTCATCAAGCCAACAGGCAGTAGCTTGTTCCTTCCTTTTCTCTCGACTAAAGCACCTTCAACCAGAAGCGAAAAGATTGATGATGCAATTGACGAAGCGATAAAAGAACGTTCCAGATATAAAAAAAATGCGGCATCCATATTACAGTAATATACATTCGGAGGAAAAGACGATATTCGCGGGATCATCGGTCATCGTCAGCAGCAGGTCGGCGTGCAAAGTCGTAAAAACGCAGACCACCGTGACGGTAATCAAAGATTAAAATTAATAAATAGCGTCGAAAACCGTGGCCCGCCTCACGTCGCCTGTTTTCAGCTGGCGACAATCTTTGCTCCCGATTTCTGCCGTTCCCCGACACTCGGCGAGGAAGCGCGGAAACGGGGCGCGACGGGGGGCCGAGGTTGACGGAGGGAGGATCCCTCTCGGCGGATCCAAAATTTCCCTCGATGCCGAGCAATGCCGAGAGGTTTACCCGCGCGGGCTTACCTGGGTCTCCTTCGTCGCGTTCAGCTCCTCCTCGTACGAGTCCGAGAGATCGTCGGAACCGCATGACTGGTTGGATTTACGACGTCGCCGTGTGTCCGACATTGCTGCGTCCGGCGCGGAGGGATATCACGCGTTTCGTTGCCTCGTGTCAACTCCGACCCGAGATCGGACGGGAGATAAGGGGGGAAAAAAAACCGTTCCGATTGTGTCCGCGGAATACACCTCGCGATGCGTCGGGCCGATCTCTCTTCTCTCTCTCGTCCACCCTCGTCCGTCACGAAATCCAACGGGCGTGCGTTAGCGAGAGGGGCGAGTGTCGAGAGACTGTCGAGAGCCTTGAATGAATCGATCCCCTCGCGGGGACACCTGGCAGCGGAAGCGCGAAATACTCCGGAAGCGGGTCCATCAAAGGCTCATGTCCATTTCTATCGTTACTCCAAATTTTTTTATTAAATTACTTCTGAGTTTTTTTCTAATTCTTAGAACTGAAAGAAGATAAAAGTAAATTAAATCGAGATTAAAGTTAATCTGCATTGATAGAAAATGGAGGAAATCAGATTGAAAGAAAGATGAAGAGGTGTAAAAAATTTGAAATTGAATCCTCATCCAATTATTTCTGAAAGTATTTATTTCAGAAGTATTATTTCTGAACAATTTTACACATTTTTCAGAATTTTTCCATAAAAATACATGAGAAATTCTTTGAAAATTTCTGAGAAAATACGAGTAATTGTTTCTCCGAAGTGAGATAAGAAATTTTCTATTTAGCGATGGACCAATCGGCGCTCGCCGACGGATGCGCAGTTCGTCGCGCCATGCGATACCGGCTTCACGTCAGTGAAAAGAAGTCATGCAGACGACGTTTGAAAATATTTTTTTTCCGCTGATATATAAGTACGTCGTCGTCCTCTCCCGCCTCCGTGCTCCGTGCCGTCCCACCTGTCGCCGCAGGCAAATCGCGAGCGGACACGAAAGCGCAGGCTGTCAATTACAACACACGTTTGACGCACATGACATGTTTGAGGTATTGCGCGGCGATCGAAACATGATAGAATAGCCGCGAAAGATGTGGGGAAACTATTGGGGCGTCTACAATGCGCTGTGCGTGCTCGTCACCCTCGTTCACGGCCACGATTTTCGGCACTTCGACGACACGGTTATATTCAAGATCAACTGGCCCGGGAAGAGCGACACGGAACTGCTGGTGAGTACACCCGGCGCGATCCCGTCATCTGTGTCCCGATCGCCGTGAACTCGCGAGCGACGATACCGTCATTTTGTACCGACGTGTGCTCCGTCCGGTTTCCTCCCTTTCTCCAGGACCCTCTGCCGAACGCCGAACCGTATTTCATCACCACCGCGAACAACGAGCGATACAGGTGCGTCATCCCGGACGCGACGGAGGAGGAGCATGAGTACAGCGAGACGTACGACGGGCCGAATCCGGTACAGCTTCTGCTGCCGATGTTTGCGCAGAACAGCTGTTCCTACAGGGTAGGAAGCAATATAAGCATTTAGTAGCATTTACGTACATCGTACATCTACCCAGGTAGGAAGCACATGTCATTTTGACGTCAAAATGACATGTGCTTCCTACCTGGGTACCGTTACTTCTATATTTTATTATTTAGATATTTAATTGTATATTTATTTTATTTTATTATGTCATCTTCATCTACTTGTACTACAATTCCTTTTCGTCAGTCGTACATTTTCATCGAGGAATATTGTTCATCGACACCGTTTTTTCACCTCGATTCAATTCTATCACATAGCTAGAGTCATACTGGACTTACGAGCTGTGCCACGGTAGATTTGTGCGGCAGTATCATGAGGACAGAGAAGGAAAGAAGATCAAGATGCAAGAATATTACCTCGGCACGTTGGACACGGAGCAAAAGGCGAAGCTCTTGGCCTATTATAACGAGCAGGCGAAGAATCCGAACAGGAAGTCGAATATACCCATCAAGAAGATCGATGGGATTAATATGCCGTACCTCGAGATCGAGATGACCGACGGCACGATGTGCGACTTGAATAACAAGCCGAGAATCATCAAGGTACTGTACGTCTGTTACAAGCACGGTAAACACGACGTGTATTCGCTGAAAGAAACCATGTCCTGCGAATACGAGGCGATCGTACTGTCGCCGGTGTTGTGCAATCATCCCGATTACAAGCCGCAAGACACCGGGGAGAATGAAATCACATGCCTGCCCGTGGACAATGCGCCGAGGAAACCAAAGTCGCTTATGGTGATGGAGCTCGACAGTCTAAAGATGCGACATCAACAAGCGAGGGTAAATCTGTGAAGTGTACTTGACGTTTCCAGACTTCTTAAACCTTCTCTTTATTTTCTACCTTAAAATATATCGTTTGGCACATATTTATATTTTGTTTATTAATAGCCGTATCTTTTTAGTTTTTATCAATTGAATCAAGTATTCTGTAGAGAGATAACGATATGTATTAATAGCAAAGGCTTGTGTGGCGTACTAATAAAACTTTAAATGATTTTTAGATCTGAAAATTTTACAGAGTAATATAGAGAATACTGCTTCTACTCTCTAAACAATTAGTATGCTTAGATTTAATTGAAGCTTGTATAATTTTGATAAATAATAGCAATCGAATAGCATTCTGTAACTTTTTAGTTTTCGACACTTGACTCTCTCTTTCAGTTTGTTTACTATTTATTTACTGTCTTAATTATTTGTTGCACAGGATGACAAGCAGCAGAAAGTGTTTGCAATCCTCCATGTAGATAAGGAGGGCCAGGTCAGAATATTTTGCATATATGGGAACAGGATTAACGCTTGTCGATCATTACGTAGTACCATTAGCTTGTGCAAATGTTGTTTTCATTCTGTCCCTTCTTTATCTACATATTCCGACACGGTGTCCACTATTACTTCACGAATGTTTAATTCTTCCTTTTCTTGTAAAATTATATCGTTACATAAGATATGATTTCTTATCTTTATATTTCACTAGAGTAGGTATTATATACATTGTGCGGTTATATGTATGTCGTTATCATTGCTACATATAGTATATTATTATATAGTACCAAAGCGTTGACTGAACAACGTAATAATGATATAAAATCACTTCGTATGCACTTAAGACGATCCATTATATCATGCTACAGTTTGCACACATTAATTGTACATATGCACGATAATAATCCTTTTCATAATCAAGTAAAAGAAATGGGGTGCTTTTTATAAATTGTATACATAATCAAAGCGTAGTCTATATTGCAATGAATAAATTACAGGATGGCGAGCCAAGAGTGAGGGTTGAGATACATCCACTGGATGTCCCGGATAAGCATGGTAGTATCGACGAATCTATCAATGCAATACAGACTGATCAGAATATCAGTCCTGCCGAAGTTAGTCCTGTCCAGAATTTCCTCAGCGGAAAGAACTGCCTGAACGGAGCAAGTATCCATAGTTATGATTTATTTTATTCTCACTGAACGTACATTTTTAACGGTGTATTTCTTTTTTAATGCGTTATTAGGGCAATGGTTGGTGGAAGTACGAGTTTTGCTACGGACGTTCTGTCGTTCAGTACCACATAGAACGAGATGGCACAAAGACGATTGTCAATCTTGGTAGATTTGACAAACAGAAGCATTTGGATTGGATCGCCGCGCATCCACACAAGAAACCTAAACCGTTAGAATTAAGGAAACACCTCTCACACTTTTACAGCGACGGAAGTAGCTGTGATAAGACTGGAACTTCTAGACAAACCGAAGTATGCGTTGGTATTAAGCCTGTTGAAAGATGGTTTGGAAAAAGATAAAAATTACCTTTGATTGCAAGAGAAATTTTGAGGTGTCCGTTTCTGTCGCGATTTTTTAAATGCTCCATCTGAAATTCACGAGTCTTGATCCATAATAATCTTTCTCCAAACCAAAAAAGTGGCTTCTTATAAATATTATAATTTATCAAACAATTTTGTGCACTTTCCTCACCGTTTGTTTTTGTTTTAGGTAAAATTGAAATGCGTGGAGAACCATACTGCAAGCCCATCCAGTGTATCGTTATTTTTACTGGAACCAAAAACGTGTGAATACGTTCTGGGAGTCGAATCACCGTTAATCTGTGATATCTTAGAATACGCCGACGAAAATGGACTTCTGAGCGACAAGTTCGAAGCGAATTTCGATAAATTGAAGTCTACGGCCTTGCACGCGGAACAGGACAATTTAGATGAGCGAATAGCTAACGGAGACGATTAGAGCAATTGATTTGTTTTCTTAATGTTGATTAAAAATCATCAAAGGCATTGTTTAAATATCGTAATTATAAAAATGATTTATTGAGTATAAAAAAAGTTACTTTCTATAAAACACTAATGAGTGAGATTGAAATTACTTTACTAAGTTACACATGATTGCGTTTGGTATTGTTGTGAAAAGGTTCGCATTCCAAACTATCTAACAATATAAGTATTTAATAGTTTCCGCGCGTGGAGATTCTCCTGTCACGTAAAAAGTGAGTGCATATCAAAATCGTGTTCCGGTATATGCAATTAGGTTTACGATGTGTCCCAATATTCAAACGGGCTTTTGGAAAATGATTTTCTTTAAGCTGAATCAGGGACATGAAACTTTCTATTTCGTCTTGTCTTTTCTCTATCCGAGCGATATCGCGACACACGAAAAGCTTCCAAGATTCTACAGAGAAGGCGGTCTGAGAGAGTGTCCAAAATTTGCAATATACAGTATTGTACTCTTGGCGAGGAATTAAGGAACGTTGTTAGCCGACGTTCAGGCCGACGCCGACGCGGAACTGCTGCCTCTTGTGATTCAGGAAGCCGCTTATGATTAACGAGGCCCCGGGGATCGGGTGCAGCCTTTTCTCGAACACGGCGCCCATGCTGGTCTCCGAATTGACGAATCCCCGGCAGATAAAGTCCGCGTACGGGATGTCGACGCGGTACACGATCGTGCCCACGGACTCGTGTATCCGCGTGTTCGTCTCGATCTCGACGCCGAGCTGCAGCTGCTCGCTCGCCTTCCGATGGTAGCAGACGTGGATGCCGGCCTCGCCGAACGTGGCGGACAACGTGGTGGGGCCGGTGCTGTGCCGGAACGCGGCGCACATCAGCGTCTGCTGGCCGCCGGGTATCAAGGAGCCGCGTAGACACGCGATCTCCGTGCCGAGGGTGATCCTCGGCGTGATCGCCTGCAGATAGTGCAACACCAGCGTGCCGTGCAGCCTCGCGAGGTCCGGATTCGCCAGGGTGAGCGCCAGGGTGCAGTCGTCCGAGCGGTACTCCAGACCGGAACTGAACGCCTTGTACTTCTTGTCGACGATCTGCGTAGCGAGCTTGAATCTGTATCTGCAGCCGAGCGTGTGGACGAAGCTGGCGCTCATGTTGCCGCTGGGCGTGATCTCGCCCGAGATCACCGGGTACCTCTCCGTGAGTCCCACCCGCTTGGTGCCGACGTAATTCACGCCGAACTTGAGGCCGTACGGCGTCACGGAGCTCAGGGTTATCTTGTAAGTCGCGTTGAAGTGCTTGCTCAGGGTTTTCCTCAGCAGCAAGTACGCGCCCTCGAAGTTCTGCGGATAGAGCTCCTTGGTTTTCGCGTGGAGGTCCTCGAAGCTGCTGGGATTACCGGGCTTCCTGTCCACCTCCTCGTAACAGGGAACGCATGACGGTTCTTCCGGGCTGTCCGAAGTCACGAAGAGCTTGTCGCGTTTGTTGATAAACGCTTGGACGATACCCATTGTGACAGGGCCGGGACGTCGGCTTTCCCAATAAGTAACCGATTTATCTTAAATAACCGATCTCAACGCGCGTTCGATATGTATCGATTTTCATTCTGTACTCGGTTTCAATGTACTGCCGATTTTAACTCGTTAATGAAAACTTTATTATGAATTAAATTATTTTAATGATGAATAATGGTTTTTCTCTTTTAAACTTGCCGTTGAAGTAAACTGTTTGATTTTTCAGATGCAAGATTATATTTAAATTGTAAGAGTTTCTCCAGGATCAATGCCACATGTCTACTCTATAGATTATAAAAGTGAGAATATTTCCATAGACGCATAAGCAAGCCTTTAGAAATTCTAAAATGGCACACGAAAAATATGCGTTCTAAGTGCACGTACAATCCGTTTATATCACATTGACAGACCTTTATGCGAATTACATGTGCAATCATCTTATGCAATTTTCTTCGCCTATAACGACATAGATAAAAGATAGTTGATTGTTATAACAAAAAGTCCACGCGATTATTTCATTTTACTGTGTACAAAAAATGACAGATTTATTCGTATGTACGCGATTAATAAAAAATGGATCTATTCTCGCAGTGGAGAACAGTGCCGCGTTAGATTAGTCTTTTCTAGGCAGATCATTTTCGTTGTCCACCTGTGTTCAGTCTGCGGGAACAGAGTAGAAGTGCGTGATTAACTTAATATTTAGCTAAAGTCCTTTTTAGTAATTTTTCTTTAGTTTTAGGAAAACAAATATTAATTTATTAATCTATAGATGACAAACATTTTAATGATCATAACATATCTTAATATGATATGTGGACTCTTATATACTCTAAGTCCATATATTTTCTAGACTATAGAGATTTCTGGTTTCTTATCATTCTGATAATCACAATAATCGTAGTATGTATGTGATAAACTAACATGGTTCTTCTCTTCGCAAGTGGTTTCCTTCCTGAGATCTTATGTATTGATTTTTTTTCAGGGACAAAAACGTCGAACAAATCCAGAATATTACTCGACTCTAAAATTCCTTCGAAAGTGCATTTTCCTGTTACAAACAAGTGATGATGATGTGAAGCAATGTTGAAACACACTTAGCGATAATAACAAACGTGTTCGATAACATTTACACATCATTCAGATCAAATCTTTACTTTAATGGATATAGTGGATATAGTTGAGTAATATCGTTATCATTCGTTATCATAAGCTGTCTTGTCTTATATATAAAAATGGAATAAAAGTAACGGCGAAAAAAATCTCGTTTCTTCAACACAATCAGTGAAACGGCAAAATGAGGAGCATTATTTGTATCTTGGCACTGCTGTGCGCAATTCATGTGAGTCCTACAAATATTATATTTAACGTAACGATTTATTTTTAATTAAAGAAGAAAAATCTAATTTAATCGTTCTAAAATAGACATACTTAGGAAAAGAATGTAATCGATAATTCTTTCGCTTTTAGACTAAAGTTTCACCGATATTTTGTCTGCAAAGATTGAAAATATCTATAATTGTATCCGTTATTTATTAGGTAATTCTTATAATTAAAGTAGAACTTTTTTCTTCTTTTCTTTTGAGAAAACGCACATCAGAGATACTGCTATTTTTATATCACTTTTATATATCTCAATAACGAAGCTCATATATCTTTTCTAAGGCATTGGAACAAAATGTGACAGACCCCTCGCGCAATCTCGAGCGATTGGTGAAGATACGCAAAGCAGTCACCGAAGCTACATTTAACAATATATCACGTTTCGAGAGGCGAACGAAGCAGAATCTGGAGATTGAACTTAACGAACTGAAAATCGACGCTTTGCTCGATATTCACAATACTATCGAGGAGGCATTCGAAAATGTCGATGTGAGTATTTATCGTATTTCAAAAATAAAGCAGAAGACAAATACACGTGCACGAGTCGATCATAATATAAGAGAAATGTATTTAATATTATAATTACAATCGAAGTCAGCATCACAGTATCAGTTTTTAAAACGGATTGTGAGAGAGATACATATAATATATAAAATATATTTATTACTTTTTTAGTCATCTGTCGACAAGGGAAGAGAAGAGGGTAAAAATGTAGACGAGTGTGACGATTACGCAAGGAATAATCTGGAGACGAAAAACACAAATGCGATTGCTAAATTGGAGGCGTGCATCGAAAACGGCTACTCGGCCATGAAAGACCCATTAGCAAACGTGGCCATCATTATTGAGGTAATTGTCATTTTCAATTCATGATTAATAATCTTCATTACTTGCTAAAATTAATTTATTTATTAGAATCATGGAAACATTTTTTTTCATTGTAATCACGATTATGAAAATGCTGATACTATAAAATGCACTATAAAATTGCACTCTCGGTATTAATAACTTTTGATTGCTGAAATATACGTGATATAGACACGTTCAGTTTCTACATAATTACATTATGGTTGTTGACAGAAGGATTATTGCAATTTGTAACAGACATGGATATTAACTTTGATTAAATATTTTTCCAGGCGGTGAAAAAATTGCTGATCGATTTGGACGCCATCATGCCAAACTGTTACTCTCCGACCTTTCTTAAAATGCAAGTCTGCGTTGTGGAGAAGATTGATCTGAGCAGAGCATCGCTGGACAGTGTCAGTAATTATGCCAAGAAAGTGACAGCCACCGCGGGAGTCACGTATACGAAAATGATTGCAGACGTGAGGAGTGGCATAACAACGAACGCCGCTGACATCCGCACTTTCAGCACGGATATCGTTAATTATACCGATAATTGCATAAGAAATGCACCTGAGGTCCCTGAAGATCCCGAACTGTCAACTATTTTCTAGTTATTCACCTCGAAAGCTTTAAATTTCGACAAGAAAAAACTAATTCGATATGAGCCTCTAATTAAATTTTCTATTTTTCTAATTTGTACCTTACCTTTAATTGAAAGCATTAATTATTAATCTATAGACATCAATTGATCGGTTTTAAATTAGTCCACATTATAATTTTTTTTTTTTTATAAGAAATAGCTTATTTAGCGGTGTGCATCTTTTCTCTGTAAATAATATCACATAATATAATTATAGATCAAATTGTATTCCTATTCATTGTGCAATCGAAACGCGTCTCGCTTCGGATCGTAACTACGTATTGCAGATATGTTAAAAATAAAAATTTATGGTTACATCAAATAATTATATTTGATTACTTTAATCTTCGCTGTGAACGTATTGATTGTTAGGGATAACGAGAGTGTAGTGGGAATAGTAACAGTAACAGCAATAGCGGCAGCAATAATAACAATAGTATTATTTATAATTATATTTATCATTAACATACTCCGATAGAATTATACATATCATTAATTATAATCGCCATGGTCATGATTATCTTCACTTATATACACGTGCATACGTATATATGCGTAGACCCATGAAAGCACACTTGACAGCACGAATACCTCGCACTGCCATATATATACAGAGCGTCTCAGAAATCGCGCACCTTCTCTGTTGATTCTTCGACAAATTTAAAATCAACTTTTCCGTAATGAAAGCTCGATTGGACTTCGCCTTTTACATCTATTACACTTCACACATATCAAACATCTTGACAGTTGCGCCTTAAATATTAGAAGTCTGTTAGATTTTTATTATTCATCTGCATCCCTAGAACTCTCGAGCCCCTTCGGGAGCCCTTCAAGTGTTAATCGTTTAGCAATCAAAAGCTATTGATACAGTTAATCATCATTCTTCGGCAAGTAATGTAGATGTGTGCGATTTTTGGGATACCCTGCGCATGCATATATTTCACACGCTAAATTTTTACTTTATTAGAATGTTATATATACACAGGGTGGCCCAGAAATAGCGGATATCGATAATTGAGTTCGATTGTTCCTTTGTGATGAAGACTTTTAAGTGGATCAGTTTAGACGTCAATTATATTATTAGAGGATTTCGCCCACGCGGAAAGTAATTTTATTTGCGCGCTGATGGTCATATAATCGTTATAAGCAAACATAATTTGGGAAGGGAAGGATCGTGCATTAGAAGCTCCTGACGAAGTCGAAGTTTCGCCAAATCTAATTATAAATCCAGAGACTGGCAAACAACCGAGGATTAACGGAACGACTTGGGTGGCAATTACCGGTACCGCGATGCATAATACTATCGTGCTACATTACTACTGGGGAAAAGCATGCTTACCTTGCTCTCTCTCTCTCACTCTCTCTCTATCTTCCTAGGAAATCGAATCTTAAAACATTTAAACACATCTTAATGGGCGCACAATCATTTCTTTTCTTTTTTTTCTTTACTACAAAAATCTGAAATACAGCATTAATGTAAATACTCCTCGTGTCTCGCACCAACTATGTAAAAGCTCGCTCCCTCCATCGAAATAAATATCACACGCCGTTAGGTTTAGTTACTGCTCTAATAAGGACTATAAGTAGAATTAAAATATTACAAGCGCATACTTATTTGATATGGCTATCAAGATATAAAGATTCATTTTTATAACATTAAATTTTCCTAAGTGGATTATATATGCTGTCTTATTTACAAAATATAGTCTGCGTAAAACTGTTCGGTAGACCATACAATTGACGATTAACTTACCGCGCACTTGGGATCCTACTGTACAGTAAAAAATCTTAAAAATCGGTGTGCATCGCGGTACAAGAAGAGGAATCTCGTTTCAGAGGGGAAAATTCGGGACTTCGCTGAAACGCGCGCGCTCGAAAACTTGAAAAGTAGCTTTTGCAAAATGTATTACAGACAACATATCCAACAAAAGGGAAATTTTTGTTCTAAGTCAGGTCTGCAACGAATTCTCTTCTTTTTCTTCCTAATCGGGGTGGCCATACAAACATCCCTAAGTTAAAAATAATTATATGAACAAAATAACATGTTTAGCATCATAATACGTGCGCAACAAGCCAAAATTTTTATAATATAATTTTATATTTCAATATATATATATATGTATATATATAACAATTGAGAATTTTTCCGAATAGAAAACAAAGATTTGAGGAGTTTACACCGTGCCATTCGCGTGAATTTCAGACTGGTTAAAACATCTTACGAGACATACTACAAAGTATCTTAGTAACTTTATTGTAACTTTATCTTATTTTCGTTCTATTTCATATGAACCATTTTTACTGACAGCAAGTATTCGGTTCTGTCTAAGGTATAATAAGCTATATGCACTAAGAGCTCCTCTGTAAATGCAATTGTACTTAACAAATTATGAGCAAGTTCTTTTATTATAATTTACTAACAGTGTACCGCTAACTGTGTTCCCGACCCATATATTATCCTCTCTGGTGCAACAACGACTCCTACATATCGTTCGAAAATCTCGAGCTATTATTGTTCCGGTGAAAATTAATCGACAACAAACTATCAAGACTCGAGATAAAAAGAAAATAAGAGAAAAAGATAGACTATGTTTCGCCATATACCCGATAAGAGAGCAATATTACAATACTTAAAAACGAGATGCGAATCCTTGACTTAAAGAATAACATAGAGATAGAGGACCTATATGTGACAAGTCAAGTCCAGCGGGAGTAGATAATTCAAAATTGCGATATTCCAGGTCAGGAAGTCGGATATATATCTTACTCCCATACGCACGTTTATAAAAACAATTATATATAGATATTATATGTATGTATATCGAGATAGTTTGTACACGTTCCTTTACGTATGGATTTAACTCGTTACTTCTTTTCTCTTTACCGTGCACTCTAACGCGACTGTTTGAACAAAATTATTTCGAAAATATTGAGACATTTTCTTTTTGTTTCACGGACACAGAGGAAGATTGTATAACACGTTGAGATAAAGAAAGAAATTTCGTGACTTCCTGCACACATAAAGCTCATCGCAATATAAATTCTCCGCGTCCTTTACGCGCAGGTGACGTGAATGTATCTGACCTGTGCATTCTTTATTAGTCATTCGAGATATTACCACTGTTCCAAGACCTAGCAAGCACATGAATCACCTCTACCGTTGCTTCTTTGGTCGTTGGTCAATTTGATTTGATCCGGGAATTCATTGTAAAGTTCGACCTAGAATTTACAAAGATATAAAGTTGAAATACGCAGAAATCAACAGAAAAAATGTCCCCATTGCGCCTACTAATATACTCACTTCACTTTCTTGAGCTAAAGCGTTTTTAGCTATCGTTTGGAAAGCTTGCTCGACATTAATAGCCTCTTTTGCACTAGTTTCAAAATATGGAATATTGTTCTTTGATTGACACCACTGTTGTGCTCTCTTGCTGGAGACCTAAAGCACAAGACACAGAAAGAACATTAAATGTGAATTATATATAAATGTCGAAAAAACAAGTCATAACTAATCTTTGATACTACATTAACACATCTTTAATATAATTTTAATATTTAGTTTATTATAACTATATGAAACTAAATAAAAAATTAAATTATTTTCAAGATTTTAAAATTATTTTACTCACCGCTCTTGATTCAAGATCTACTTTGTTCCCGAGCACGACAAACGGAAAGTTGTCTGGATCTCGAGGCGACGCTTGAATTAAAAATTCATCTCTCCATGAATCTAGGGATTTGAAGCTAGTCGGAGCGGATACATCGAATACCAGGACGCAACAGTCCGCGCCTCTGTAAAAAGCCACTCCTAACGATTGAAACCTCTCCTGCCCGGCGGTATCCCAAATCTAAGACAAGAAGGAACCTTATTAGAAATACAAGGTATCGGCAACAAGTTAAAATAACTAAATTAGACGCGAGGATTACCTGCATGGTGACTATTCTATCCTCCACCATCACTTCCTTGGTCAAAAAATCCGCCCCTATTGTCGCTTTGTATTGATTACTAAACTTCTTATTGACGTACTGGTTCATCAGAGATGTCTTCCCGACTCCTGAATCCCCGAGGATAATGACTTTCAGCAACACTTTCTTGCGGGACGCCATTCTTCGCTGGAAAGATACAAAGCAACGTTAAAAGTTAATTCACGCACGAATAAATGCTCAGAGCAAAGATCGTTGTACAATTTAAAAATAAAAGCTGCTGTGACTAATACAGAATTCCTTATCATCAAGCATATATATATATATATATATATATATATATATATATTTGTGTAATATGATTCTTCTTTAATATCAGACTGATAGATGATTCATGACCAAAGAACACGCAGGAAAGAATTTTAGTGTCTTCAAATAAATTCACATTAATATAAATCTTTCTATCCAAATTTTTATAATAGGGGTTAAAATATTTAATACCCCAAATAAAAATTTAAGCATACATATAATAAATGTCAGCGGGCGAGATATATAATTCAAATGTTTACTCTATTTTCATACAAATATATAATAAAAATTGTATTACATTCTTACATTTTTTTTAGTCTTTGTAAGCAAAACTAAAATCCAAAAATAATATTCTACAATCTACAAGCTGTATCTCCAAAAATTGATCAGCTGCAATTTAATAATATTTAAGAGCTAACAAGTTAAAAATCGTTGCTGCATCGATGCTAAAATAATTATAATTTCTCAAAAAGTTTCATCGTGCTACGCGAGGCCAAAAAATCTCGGCTATCGAAGGCGGAGCACCAGGTGCCTTCTCGAATCGTAAATACCGAGCTCCAGCCTCTGACATTACCCTACCCCGTGACCCTTCCCGCTATTTACACAATCTGTCAAATGCGCCGAATAAAAAAAAAGAAAACCACAACTACCGCACGATTATCAGAACGCCGAGCGTCCGGGAGGAATGATCGATCACATGAATCATCTAACAGCGTTGACGAGGAGATCAGTAGCAATGACGTACGTACGACGCACTCGCCGAGAAAAAAAAACAGCGAGAGAAAGAGCGAACGAGCGAGCGAACGAGAGACAGAGAGAGAGAAAGAGAGAGGAACTTTCCTCCCGAGACCGCGCGAGGTATTCGGCGGTCACCGTCGAACGATCACTTCCGGAAATAAATTCGGAGATGCAACGATAACGATAACGTAACGAGAGCGCGGACGGGGACGGACGCGGGAGATGAGCGTCGCGACGCGAGAGCGGAATTCGTTCGACTGCGCGTCTCCCGACGAAAGCTGTCACCCGCGGGGCAGCTGGGTCCGGAGCTGCTCTCGGTTAACTCGCGGGGCACGGCGCGTATTACGCGGAGGAAAACGGGGCGGACGCGCGATCCACACGTCGACCGCGTCTCCCGCGGGCGACGCGGAGTCCCCCCTCCGTGGGACGGGGGAACGGGAACGCGTCGGGACGTCGCGCGAACGTTCTTTACCTGGGGGAACACTCGTCAGGGAACACGGCCTGTGAAAACACCTCCGCGCTCCAGCGCTTCGCACAAAGAAAATGGCGTGTTATGAAATCACGAGAGTATGACAACGATGTCGTCACCTGTTCGCCTCGCCTCCCTTATCGACCGAGTGCAATCGAGTGCATTTACTCGCGGACCGCGGTGTCTCGGTGGCGTGCGTTCGCTCGCACCGCTCCGCTCGCACGGCGAGAGGGTCGATCGTAGAGCGTATCGATGTATCGATGTATCGATGTATCGATATGTCCCACGAGATGCGATTTGAATTTTGCAGCTCGCTTCGCGGCGGGTCGCTTCGCTTCGTTATTCGGGAACAAGAGAGACACGACGATGCCAAAATGGCGTCCAAAAGGCTGCTGTCCGATTCACGCTCACAGGCTCACGGTTGTAAGCACATCATTCTGTCTTCGTTGCACTTCGAATATCGAACGAAGATAGAGCGATATGCTTTCAGCGATGTGAGCACGAATCGGATCGCAACTTAACGCTGCTCGGACACCGGGGGCCTTTTAAGACGATTTTTCGTTATTTACAGTTTCCTCCTGGCGTTTCAACATTAAAAAAAATTGCAACAGTTTTCGGTTTATGTAAGTATTACAGAAATAACTTTATGAAACCTTAAAGATGATACATAAATTTTCATAGATTTTTTGTAACACAGAAACGCTTTCAAAAGTCCTTTGGACTTGAAAGTCCCAGGGTATCCGGGTGAGTGCTCCAAAAACATATAGTGTCTGCGCAGTGTTAAAAGCCACTCCAACACACCACTTCTGCTACTCCTCGTTTATCCTGCTTGGTGATCCAGGGTGATCGATGCGCTTCTTCAGATTTATGAAATCTGCATCTCGCGCGAAGGAAAAGGATGCAGAAAAATAATCCTTCGTCATGCATTTATTACAGTTGGAAAAACGGAATAATGAATACTCTGAAATGTATGTATTATTATCATGTTAAACTAGAATCGCACTAATTGAACAAGAGAGAAAGAGAGATTCGATAAGTTGATTCAGTTTCTCTAAAATTAGAGTAAAATTGAAATTTGCAATTAGAAGCACTTAATTTTTTTATTTATTCCCTTGCTTGATATAATTTTAATATGAATTTTAATACATTTTATTTCAAATTTTAGTGTAATAATATCTTACATATGTAATAATATACATATAATGTATAATTAAATACTTCTTAACAATGAATAATTTTAATATAATTAACTCCAACTTTTTTACCTTTTTTTATTATTTTTTTAAACAACTCAACTTTTTCTGTAAAAGAGTAATTATATACAAGCGAGCGTTAATTACAAAAGCTGATCATAAATGTATTGGATCTTTCTTTCCAATACCCTAAAAAAATATATTGATCCTATTGGTCATTATATATTTTAAATTTTTATGAAAAGCAATTTATTTTCTCGCGAGAAAGGATGTTTTTTTCGCATTGATGATTAAAGTTAAAAGCAAATCGATTTCTCCATATGAATTGCAGTCCGCATAAATATGCATATAGCGAATATAAATCTGTTGCTGATCGCGTTGACATTTTGCAGGCCGTAGAATAAAATCTGCGTTTAATCACTATCCTTGGCATAACTTACGAGGAACGTAGAGGAAAAAAGTCTATATAGAATATACATATACATATATTGTAGAATTTTATGATTCCACAAAGAAATTAATCGTGAGTTAAGTTAGTGATTCAGGTTACGAAGTGTCGCGAATATCAAGCAGGATGTCTCGGAAATATTGCTATTTGGCAATCGAATTCTCGAGAACAAGGACGGATCGTAGAATCTCCAGACGAGACAAAAAGTCACGTCGACGTCAATGTGGTGTCGAAATGGTTTCAAATAATATTATTAAAAGTCGCTCTAACGCCACTTCAACGTCACTTTGACGTCATCGTGATTTCTTAGGGATTCTGCTTAGGATTACAGACGCATTATTTGTTTACTAACTTCTCGCCCGAAATTTTGCAGGAATCCTTAGAGATATCGTACACGTCTGAAAAGTGGGGATTTAAGCTGTCGCTTAATATATGAGTCTCAATTATAATTACGCGAAGACACGAGCGTGCGAGCGACAGTGTAGGACGAAGCTGTGATGCTAATTAATGTTACTCAATATATTGCCGAAGACAGTCGGACGGAAAGTTACAGAGACGGAGAGGCGTTTCGTAGCCTTATCGACGTCCCATGCGAATTTAATAATCAGTCTGGCGGCATCTGATTTCGTTGCAGCTAAACTTAACCGCGAGTTACGAAATCGGCATTTAATTAGTAGACTCGCAGAAATTTCTCGTACGAGCCGCCGCGACGAATCGGTATCGCAACATCTTATCTTCTTTGATCAGAGAATTCGAAATGAGAGAGGCGGATAGAGTAGATGACAGCCGGGTGAGAGTAGGTTTCGCGGTCTATTTGGATTGAAAATCTTCTCGCGTCTATTTTTACGTCGTCCGTCACTTGCATTTTCTTAATTGAGTTGCATAAAAAGAAAGAGAGGAGGAAAAAACTCGTAGAAGAAATGGCGAACGAACAGTGAACATCATTCGTAGATTCGCAAGGCGAAAATAAGAATTTGAAGTTAAAACGATGGACCGTGCAATTTTTAATCACCCGGATGTCTTACTTTAATGCGTTTCTTTTTAATTAGAGTGAAATCGAACTTTGCAATTGGAAGACAGGGCTTTATTTTTTTATTTATTCCCTTGCGTGATATAATGTTGATATAATTTTAAAATATAATTTATTTTAATATGATTAAAACTGCAGTATAATTAATTTATATATAATTTAATATATGGAAGAGAATTTTTTAAAATATTGACTTATATCACTATGGGTTTTACCCCTCCATATATATATATTAAATATGATATATAACGTATAATTTAAAAACTTCTGCAACTAATGGTTTTTTGCCCTGAATAATTATTTATTCTTCTAACTTGGCCTTCAATATGCACGTATAAATCAATATTCGATTGCCTCATTATTTCAGAAATACTTTGTAGGCGAGGTTGACTGCCTACTTCTTTAGTCGTTAGTCGTCATACTCTCGTAATATTAATATCTAGCATTTCTTGCGATATTTTAAATAAAAAATAACATTATCCATCAACAGCTGTAATTAAGAAAATTAAATTTTTTTACGTTTTGGTTGGAATCGCGATCAAAGTCAAATTGTACAATTTATCGACATTGACTGAATTTTTTACGCGACTTTTAATTCTAATTAATTCTAGAACTTAATTCTAAGAGGCAAAGGAACGGAACGGGCGAGGCAGATAAATGCGACGCGCATTGAATTAAATAAGTATATTAATTTAATCACATATAATTACAATCACACGTATTTGCTGCGATACATACTGCCGGACTCTGCTACAGGGTATTTGTCATATGCTGAGAAAGAGCTTAAGTCGAAAACTTAACTAGAAAAGTGCGCCATTACCAATTATCGTTAAAAGATATATCGTCGAAAAGTGTCTAAACCTTTCGTACGCTCCTGTGCGAAATATAATATAGGGTAATCACGAAACAATGTATACGCCGAAATATCGACTTAACTTCTTAGCACATTTACCATTCTTTGTAAGACATTCATTGCATTTCCTGTCTTCTGCTAAATTTTGCGATGCCCGTTTCTTTTCTCTAGATTTTCGTAAGTAAACCATACATTCGGGGATTGAGCAGCTAAAGTACATAGAAGACGCTAATGAGAGGGTCGCGGAGTGGATTACGAGAAGATTACAAATAGGAAGAGACAGGGAGGGAGGCAGAACGAGTGCATTGGAGAAGCTTTCGTCGTGCTTGTGGTTTGCAAAGGCGCCGCCTGAATTTATATACAATTAGCTTAATCTAGATCGTGTATGGGATCGGATCACGTAAGTTAGGCGGGTGAGCGGTACCGCGGTATGGCCTCGTCGCGATCGGCAGAAATCGTTGCGCAATCCTGTCGAACAATCCGAGCCGGATACGAGGAGATCTTGATGTATACCTAGCGCAACGTACGGCGACGTCGTTTGACTGTTACACGACAATTTATCCTTTCCCCGAGAAGAAATACCGTGAAATAGCGTGACTAATCGAAGCGGATCTTGGTATTCGGATACCAAAGTAAAATAAATACAAAATAAAGTTACTTCGTGCGATCGTACGCGTCTTTGCTTCGCGTTGCGCTAGGCTCGATGATTTTTCTGACGTCCATTGGAACGCAACCGGGCACGATCGATCTCGTCGAGGAGGCTACACCGCAACCTTCACCTCCCCTTTGGGGATAAGGTGGCCTTTCGCTGCTTTGTTTTTCGGGTGCTTTAGGGCTTCGGCGCCTCCGGCTGCGGCTTCGCGGCCGCCACGTCGGCCTCGCTCGGCGGCGGCAGAGTCGGGATGTCCGGATACTCGAGCTTGGCACCGTCCTCGCACTCGAAGATCGGACAGCAGTCGGGGAAGCTCGCGGTCTTGTTAGTCTTGTCGGAGAGCTTGCACTTGGGGTTGGCCTTGGGCAGCGGGCCGCAGTCCTCCACTAGCTCGAACAGACGGCCGGAGTTGTCGTCGGCGGGCACGCAGGTCGAACGGCCGCAGAACGGCGCCAGCTCCCACGACTTGGTCGGCTCGATGGTCGCGCATTTGGTCGACGCGAAGCACATGCCCGGGAAGTCTGTAATGTGGAAATTCCCTCTCGTTAGAACGACGAGTTGCATGAAACCTCGACGATAAAAGAGCCGAAAAGAAAGCTTTGTGTTTAATTCGTTTCTCTTTCGTTTTTAGAAAATACGGTTATACAAATCATATAACGAATTATTTCAGGATGTGATAATTCATATATACAACTGTATAAATCATTTAACAAATTATTATCGGACGTAATTTAATTTGTTAATATGCAAATGAAATAATGTATCGAAATAATGCACGTTATAACGAATCTTTGTGCCGATAACTGCTTTGTGCAAGCTTGGAAAGGTGATGAACGACGCGTTAACATTTTAATCCACTTTGGCCGACTTGTATAGGGATTCGCGAAATCTCTTTCGCACGGTTTTTATCGGTGACGCACCGTTAGTAAACGAGAGGAAAAGACCATCCGTCCCGAATCGGCGACTCATCAAAGTCGAAATAACGAAATAACGTGGTGATTATGTTTCCTTAATAACGCGCTCATTACCTCGTCACGCGCAATTCCGCAAAAATGTCATTATTTTTTAACGCGCCATGCGCGCCGGACCTAAACCGACGCTAATGTCTATACAATGTTACCCGTTAATTATCCTAGCCTGAATTATATCCCGGCAAATGAAAGAGCAGGCAATATTTTTAATATCGCGTTGCACATCGCGATGCACGCGGTGAAATCGGGGCCGTCGAACTTGATAATGTGTTTCGCGTAGGACGGTCCGTAATTTACATCAGTATTTATTTCGGTGACAGGGAAAAGAAATCAATTAGATGAAAAACATCTTTTCCTCAAAATAAGTTGGATGAAGAAAATTATTTCCTTAAAATAAAGAAAAAGAATAGAGCGAAAGAAAGCTACGGGATTTCTTTAGGAGTAAAACAATGAGAAACAAGAGTGGTAATAGAAAATATAAGAATCTATGCTAATTAAAATTATATATAATTTAAAATGATACTGTCATTTCTTTTATTAAACTTGAGACACGTTATCGATAAATGATATATTGTATTCGGTTGGAATTATAAATCTTTTCCAAAAGACGCGAAATAAAGACATCTGTCTATTTATTTCGACGACAGATCGGTTACCGATTCCGCGCGGTTGATTCTTTTTCAGTAACAGATCTTTGCGTTTCAATACATCGCGCAATACATTGTAATCTTTTTATTAGTGCGAACGAATTTTATCCTTTATTATCTTACAATTATTTAATTTATCTATCATATTATCTCATATTCGTTTTAATGGAGTATTGCCCGAACGTTTAAAAATAATCTTCTCGCACCGGCGAACGCTTCGCTTTACGTCGGCATTCGCATCATTATTCCCATTGTAAACGACGACGAACGCAACAATGCCCGCTGGGTTCGGCATCCTATTTCCGAGTCGGTCCGTCAACCTGCAACACGCTAACGCTAATAATGACGGTCGCGAATTTCACTTCCTCGACGCGGAGCCGCGCGATGACGACGACGACGTATACGACGGGTGCAACGGATGACGGCATTACGGGGCTAATTCGATTTGTAATCGTCGACGACGACGAACGTTGCCTCGATACATCTACGTTGCATCTACGAACGGGGAAAACAACCCGGTGTCCGGCGGCCGGGTGATCGTGCTAGAAACTTCAAGGAGAAACACTTTCACTGTCATACACCGGGCCGGTCGGTTGCGCGCCGCTTTTACGCAACGCCCCGACGACAAATGTTGGGCGCGTCGTTACGACGGACGTCGGACGCGTTGATTTTACTCGGCGATTACGTAAGAGCCCTTCGAGGCCTGTCGAGACCGATGACTCACGACGCGATCGTTTCACCCGAGAGAGCGAGGAAACTTGTCGAGAGGCGAGGACAGGATCTTCGAAAAAGTCCGGATCGACGATCCGGTTCTTCAATCAAATCCGGAGAAATTAAAAAAAAAAAAACGCGAAAGATGAATCTGCGGGTAGATAATTTATCGATTTTCCGCGTGATTATGCGGTTTGAAAAAAACCTGCACTTGTTAAATTTGCAGTGTCAAATTGTACTCAATTTCAGTCATTTTTAACCATTCACATAGGTCGCCACTGCTCCTACTCAATATGTCGTTAATTTAACTGAAACAATGTTAATTTAATTTTTAATTAAATGGAGTTAAAATAATAAATTGCGACACGCGTGGCAGTTAAAAATAACAAAATGTTATTTAACTCAAGGTATTGATTTAAATTTCATTTTTTAATATTTAACAATGTGTTTCGTCGTGTATTGGGATTTATGAGTCACGTCGACCGGTATTCCTCGCCGCGATTTCACATCCAACGCGCGATATCCGTATAGATATAAGATCGAACAGAGGATTACGCGCATTGTTGCACGAACGTCAGGACGTCTGGCCGGTGTTAATCCGGTCTGAGCGAGCGTGTTGTTTCGCGAGGCTTAAACAATGACGTGTTCGTTACAGTTTTCTCAATGCCGGCGACGTGCGAACGACGTTTACGGCGCGATGCCGACTTAATGCCGCTGCGGTTTTCTCGTTTCACCGGTCGTCGTAAAATAGTAAACAAGGACACTTGTTAAAGCGACAGCAGGCGCAGAGATTATATACGATCTTCATGCCGATTCAATTAGAAACGCAGAACTCTCCAGATTTAGAAAAGTAGAATGTAACTATTATAAATTTTCGAAGGAAGAATCGCAGACGTCATGTTTTTAGCATTAATTCGTTCACACGTTTTTCCTGTTATGCTTTATTACATTACGTTATTGCTGTTTCTTCAGCTGCGTCTTGCGAAAATGAATTCTTCCGCGAGAGGAATTAATTTTCTCGACAAGACGCTTAAATATAAATTACTAAAGTATTGTTAGTCGTAAGAAAACCTATATTTTAATAATCCTTTAAAGACGGATATTCTAAACAAGCTTTATCGCACAGGACGCAAAAAAAGAGGCTAAGATTAGTGGTCAATTTTCAGTAACGGGAAATGAATCGTCCACCCTCGTCTTTTTTAACTTCAAAGTAATACTGTATAGCTTATTGGCCCGTCCTTAAAGGGTTAAAAGATAAAAAATTTTATCAGTGACTTTCACTTAGATTGCAAGAAAGCAAACAGTTCTCGGGACTCTGTGCATTGTTCGAAGCGCTGATAACCGCGATAACGTATCGCTGACACTTTTTCGAAATAGAATAGCTGATATTTGTCTCGTTCGCGAGAATATCTTGCGTCTTTCTACAGCGAAACCGACTCGGTCCTCGAGAAGCTAACGGGAAGCAAAGAAGTTGAACGGAGTTACAATTTATTATCACGATACATACAATGATATATCAGTATATCGCATATAGTAATATATTATTATGATATACAGTGATACAGATGTGTGATGCCTCGCTAATCTCGAAAGTCTCGCGACGCAGGCTTCTCTTTCCCTGATTTTACCGCGCTCGATCCCGCCCGCACTTTCATTTCATCAGTCGCCAGTCGTCATTTTTGCTCGGGATACCACTTTCCTGGGTGCGTTTCTCGCTTTCAAACAGCGAGGATACTTTCATGCGACCTCACCGTAATTTCATATACATTCTTTTCGATCGGACAATAGCATCGGAGTTGATATATCTTAAAACGTGTACGAAAAGATCTATTTTCTTATTTCTTTTTCTTTTGTGCTAGAAAAGGTCGAAGAAATTAAAAGGCGATCGTTCTGCTGTACTTATGTGTAAAAATACTAGGTATTGTTTATCGAGACGCGTTTCCGCGAGCTCGTTGCGTACTATTCCGAGGCCTTCGCCTCGCGCGATATCTGCGACCTTCCAGGACGGCGAGCAAATAATTCTATCCTTTCCGTGAGTTTCCACACCCGTGATGGCGATCCTACCGCCTTCGCTACAATTCGAGCAACGAGGTCGCCCGTAATTCCTCTCCCCTTGTCCCTCTCCGTGACTAATTCGATTACTCATGGAAATCCAGGTCTGCGCGGACAAATAAGAAAGAACACGGCCACGGGTAATTAAAGACCGGGAATTAGTCTAATAGCCTCTACGCGAATATCAAGGATTTTCTCTCTGGAAGGCACTTAAACTGATCTCCTTCAAACTATCGCTCGCGGTCTTATTGGAGTAATCTTGCGATTCGCGTCGAATGGTAAAAAAAAACTGCCGCTTGTACATAGTGCATCGTTCCTTAATTAATCGCGTCTTAATTGGCGAGAATTTTATCTATTTTCTTAAACGTATAGCATATAATCGTCAGGATAAATCTGAGTTAAATACACGCGTCCCGTAGATCTTAATACCTACAATTAGTGGCATATTATCATTTGCATTTGTCTCGTTGAACTACCTCCTTTTTTTTACACGCATCGTTTTTCAAGAAGCTAAAGCGACAGATTTCGCAACGGTCTCCTTAACTTATCGAGAGAAAGAGAAAATGCATCACTGCACCCCGCGGACCGTATAAAGAAGAAAGTGATATCGGGAAAGGGGGAGAAGGAACGGAAAAGGGTGGGGAGAGATTATAAGGGGATTGTAACAGGTGATGGTTACAGCATGAAACTTTCACGCGGTCTCGTGATCTTGACGAGCAGAGCTATTCTGTCGACAATCCGTCTGTGGGATCTCGTGCCGCGATACATCATACGTGTCCTTGCGCGAATCGGGGATTCGCAGGGACCGCGCCCGCGTTACGAGATAATGGGCGAGCCGACGCAAAAAGACGTCCGGCAGTTACGTTTTATATCATGGCCGATTCACGCATGGATAATTACTTGGGATAAAATGCCGAGACGCGATAATTGAGCGAGAAAAAAGTGTTAATCAAGGCCGACACGAGAACGGAAGCGAAGAATTGTGAGGCGTGGGCGAGGAGATGGGATTTTTATCTCTGTCTCGGAATAATTCACGGGAACTCCAGCGAATCGTAATATACCTTTCGCGATTGCGGATAATAAAAATTTTCGGTTCACGTAGAATCGAGAGCGGATCTTGGATTTAGTTATTTTCTATAAGCAAGATTGATAAAAATAGCATGAAGTTTTAAATGACAGTTGAAAATTCTATTTTTTAGAGTGAACAATTTAAAACCAATTATGAAAATGGAATTGATTCTACATTTATTTTTTTTTGGTTTTTGTTTTTTGAATTAGTAGGTATATGGAACATTTCCAAGCTTTTTTGACAGAAGAATTCGACTCTTTTAAGATGATTCGAATGCGCATCGCTTATTATTTCCGTCACGGATGGCATTCGTAGCACTACGTGGCATGTCATCGGGATTCAGAGACAGCTGTTTAATACGCGTGACAATGCATCGTAAGAAAGCCGAGTGTCTCCCGAGCACCGGTTGAAAATAATGACAATCGTCCCATTTGTCGGTCATGCACATACAGTTCTTTGAATTCGGCCAGACACCTAACGCAGTGATTCTCAGCCGACGTTTCACGCCTCGTTTCTTCATTTTTCGCGTACAGGCGAATCTACTTGCGAATCTTTGAGAAAAATTAATCTCGTTTTTTTAAATATAAATATGTTACATGGACTGACAGAACGCGAACATTAATTCAGCATTTTACAATACGCATTTTTACTATCTTTGATTGAAACGCACTAACGAGCTTGATAAAAGATAGATTCAACTTGCAAACACTTGTCTTGCGAGTGCGGAAAAAATTATTTCGGAGAATTAAAATTAGTCCGCATCGATAAAAATAATTAATATGTACCAGTCTCTTATCTTTTCGCGCGAGCTGAGAAGCGCCGTGCGAAATCACGCCATTCTAAAGGCGATATCTTTTCTTCGGCAACAACAAATTAGCATACAATCTATTACGCTAATAGCTGACACATACCCATCTGCTGTCAGATATATTGTTTAATTGCTTCTATCTTACGTGATAATACCAAGCGATATTAGCATCGCGTTATGAAGATAAAGATCGCTACTTCAACAACGAGATGCATCGCGATAAAAATATTCTTTCGTGATGAAATATCTTTTTGAAGCTATCTTTAGCAATGCTAAGCAATGCTCGTATAATTATCGTGTGCCAACAATCGAACGTTGAATTGAGACTTTTCCAACTGGTCTTTTTAAATAAAAAAAAATAAATAAATATAAAGTAAAAAGTGAACAGTATAAAGTAAAAAGTTTTAAGTAAAAAAAGAGTAAAGTAAAATTCGGCAATTTTTAAAAGTAGAAATATAAGTAGGAGTAGAAATATAAATTCTTACAACAAAATTATCTAAAAGGAAACAACGACAGTCTTTCAGGCCGCGAGTTTGCCGCGAAGTAAGATTCTACCCTGGAAAGGGTTGGCTCGGGCTAACTCACCGCGGAGAACGTCGGCGGGTATCAGCCTCCGGAAGGTTTTCGGCCGCTCCTGCACCTGGGCATCCTGGGCGGCAACGAAGGCCACCGCGACGCACAACAGGGCGAAGACGATCTTCATGATCTCGAGCCGGGCGACAGACGGATTCACGAGGGGAGATCCTCCTTCGCGATGGGAGGGATGAAGTCAAGAGAGGAGTAGAAAAATGGAGCTTCTTGTATCGATTACGACTGGTTGGGCCCGATCCCCGTGGCGGCATTTTATAGCCGACCATCGGGCGGGGTCCCTGTTATCCCCTCCAGGATCAGACGTGTGGTCTCTCACCTCTTGAACCACCAGTCACCGAGGCATCGTTCGCGACCGGGGCTCCAAGTGACGTCGGGGACACCGCCGGGGTCCACGCGGCAGGTTGGTAGGGACGCGTACGCGCATGGGGGACCGACGTGGCCGCTGCAGACTTTGGTCGTGCCCCCATCCCGGTACGAGATTCGTTCGACGTGGAAAAATAAAAATTTCCGATTGCTACACACAACGAGGATGTTCCTCGACTTACAAGCAATCAAATTGAACTTCACCGAAGAGCTAAATGACTATATGAAACTACATTCTTTAATTAATTTTCGATGAAGTTTAATAGGGGTTTAATTTGACGCTTAATGTTTCAAGGACGTAGGAAATTAGAGAACCGCAATAGATGATGACTAACCTGGATATTTCCATTGAGGAAAAGTTGGCGTCAAAGTGGCCAGAGAATCTATTACTGAAAGCATTTTTGTTTGAGTTGGTTTTGAGATATTCTTAAGATAATACATATACACAGAAAGAGTTTCATTTTTAGACAAGAATTTTATTTTAGACAATATTTTTGTTTTTAGACAAGAGTTTTATTTTTATTTTTCTTTTATAATGCCGAGTTAATTTATCACAAGCCAACCGTAAAGTACGAGAAACTATTCTAAAATACTTTTGTTTGTCGAGAGTTTTCAAGAGAAAACTAAAATAATCTAAGGCAATATATATTGACAGCGCACTCGTGAGTTTAATGGATCAGGTATCCGCGGTTAATTTATAGATCGGCGTGATAATCGTTAATAAGACATGCAGTGAGATTAATTGACGGACAACCGTTTATTATCTTGTATACTGTAATCGCGAAATTGCTGTATACATGTCTTCGGAGACGTGGATTGTCGTTAACTTTCATCCGTTCATTAGTAAATCTCGCGAGCGCTCATTAGCGCGATTAAAACGAGCCGGTGTGGCGTTTGTAAAAATCTCAACCGTTCTATCTAAGTTAGTATTAATTTCAGATCAGCGATAGTGGATCACGGCAGTGAGTGATGTGGCGAGAAAAAAAAGATACCTTGACTCTCGAGACATTCTATACGAACGCGCGTATAAAATTAATAATTATGCGTCTACAGTTATATATTATTCTGCTACAATGTTGAATATTAAAGGATGAAATTGAAATTGATATCTTAAGTTAAAAAATATTTTATTATTTTTACGTATGTCAAAATTTATTATTTTAACTCCATTGGTGTTGTTAAATTAACGTTATTCTAATTAAATTAATGACGTATTTTAGGGTAGAAGCAGGATGACTTATAGAAATGGTTAAAAATGGACTCAAATTGAGTATAATTTGACACTGAATTTAACAGTGTTGGTCAAAGGCTCAATTTCAGTTAGATAAATTGTAATTAACACCCTGTGTATCAAGATGCGTGCGTATGCGTTGCGGTTCCGTGCGCACTTGCGTGCGGCATGCGAGAGGAGTTACGTTGTTACGTTAAGATAATAGTGTGAAAAATCTACATCGCTCGTTTTCACCAATTACACGGGGATGACAAGTAATACGCATTGAAACGTTAACATGACAGAATTATAATAAAATACCGTTGTCTGTATAGGTAATGAATTTGGATACCACCCGCGCGTTGACGAAGAAGAAAGGCGTGTAGTAGCTGAAGATGAATACAGGTTTTACGGACCGTACTGTGGAAACCTCAGCATTTCGAAGAAAGAGAGAAAGAGGCGACCTTAGGGGAATTTTACTCGTTAAACAAGATCCTCTATCCGAATATTCATAAATTTAATCGGGATTTAAATTCCGCCGCCCACTTAAAATCGATTTAGTTCGGGATTTATGGCGATGAATAATTTACGAAACGGATTATACAATGTAGAACTAGCTTGAGAAACTGGTATTGTAGCTGCAAGCTTTTTATGGCAATGCTCTACGATAAAAATAGTCCGCGTATTAGCATCCCGCAATTAATCACGATAATCATTCTCTATTCTATTCCGGCGCTGCAGAATTACGATTTAACGCTACGCTCGTCTCGGCTTCTCGGAGGTGATTTTGTGTAACTCGCGCGAAATTTTTTTTCCTTTGAAAAGCAATTGAGCAACCAGCCCGTCGAATACACAGGAATCTCGTAGCGCCATTAATACGGGCTTCTCGGGAAGAAATTAACATAGCCATTAGTAAACGGTGAACGTTAGGAAAGCCGCGAGCAGGTGATTCATTTCAGCGTGAAGGAGTTGCTCAAAAGGCGGCGACCCGTTTGTATAATATAATTCGTATGTTTTGTAAGTAACGCCGATTAAGCGCGGAAACGCATGTTGCTCAATATCGCGCGCGTGTTGCACAATATATCCTCGTCGCACGTGTGAGATTGAATCTCCGGATGATTCTTTTATTCGAACGCCGACTTAATATGCACACCGCGCTGCACGGAATATATCCGGCATAGAAGATTTTACGACATACGCAATATTGCATAAATATTAATTGGCGGAATCTAGAAAAATAATACAACTGTGTTCTCTATAACGAAAGTCCTATTTAAATCGATATCAAAGGGTCGGTGCGTGAAGGAAGATCGTCAAGATGCAAGATCGGAGTTAAATTAAATTTTGCAGCTACAATAATTTACATAATATATTTACTCTTACTTAATTTTCCACTACTCTTACTTAATTGCTTTATGCAAATTTGGCTCATCAGTCTATTAATATCCTCCAACAGAAAATTCTCTTCTACGTGTGCAAGATGCGACTGGAGGGAAGGCAGTGAGTTGCATCGTTCACCGAGAAACCTTTATCACCCGACTGTCGGCCTCAAACGAAGCGAAGGCTGAGAAGATGTCTTTTCCAATGACTGGCGATGCCGTCGTGGATGACGCCACACCCTTGACTTCGCGGTCGATCTCGACCTCGCACTTGGTCGAACCGACGATTTTGGACCCTTCCTGATCCAATTATATTCAATTATAGACGATGAGCTTGGTAATTGGCATCGACAGCGGTAGCCTAGTCTCAGTCTTGACATCGGCCTTCGTCGATGCTTCTGTCCTCGCTTTGATCTCGATGTTCGCGCGGGACTCTACCGCCTTCGCTTCCGCTTTGACTTGGCTTGGTTGCTGAGAAGAGATCGTTCGTCGCGAAAGAAACGGCTAGGGCAACCGGCGAGCAACTGCTCCGAACTGAGAAACACCTGACAGTTTACTAATCGCTAATATTTGTTTGACAATTCAACAAGAAGTCGGAAGAAAGATTCAAAGAAATTTCTCATACTTACTTATACATATATGTATGTACATACATGACATGTGTTTAATCATGTCGCAAGTGGGGAGGAATCGTATTCCAATAATTGTAAATTTGGAAGTTTTGTTGTAATTTCTAATACACGCGACGATATCTGCGATATAAAGATTAATTTGTTCTTCTAACAGTTAATATAAATAACAGTAATTTTAATCTCGGTTTAACTCACTTTTCATCTCTTTCTAATTCTAAGAATTAGAAAAAGATAAAAAGTAAATTAAACCGAGATTAAAGTCAATCTGCACTGGTAAATATGGATATAATTTAAACTTGAAATATTGAACCGGTTCTGGAGTCAAATTGTCGAAGAATCGACTCTATCCAGGCAAAAATTCAATGGAAATATTTAACAACTCTTATAATCACTTATAATTCCTATATTAATTCTTATATCGAACAGTTTAATTACTGAATACAATAATAATATTAATTATACGAGACAAGGAGAAAGAGAGGGAAAATAATTTGTCGCAAACCTCGGGAAGGCAAACCTCTGGCAAACGTGAATTCGTGCCGGATGCGCGAGTGATGTAATTGCTGCGAAGCCGGCGGAACTCAATTGGGGCGATATATTGTGTGCCGAGATTGCCGGGACAACGGCCGGACTGGGCACGGCTCCGAGGTGCATGGCACGACCAACGCCTAATGGTAATTTGGGATCTGCCCAAATTGGAGAAAGTTTCCGCGTTGATTTTCGCACGCGAGACTCGGCGTTGCACGCTATATTTACTTTGCTGCTTGTCGCCTTCGTCAGAATAACGAGGAATACTTACGAGCGACGAGGAGAAAAGAGTAGATACATAGTTAATAATAAGAAAATATCTATCTGGTGATTCTCTCTCTATAGTACTATTCTAAGATCTGTAGAAGAGGAAAAATAATTGCGGCTTTAAAATGTATTTTTCACATTACGATTACACTTCGAACAGCATAACTTCCTCAATTACATCACGTATGATTTCTACCACTCCGCGCACCGGTACCGCCGCGTTTATCTTGTGCCGTATTTGAGATAATTGTAGAAATAAATTGCAGGGAAACGCACTTGACGTAGGAAAGTCGAATGTTGTTGCTGGGTGCAACTAATTGGGAATCCGACTTATGTAAGGCTGCCTATGTAAGAACTAAGCGTTATCATAAACGTGTGTCATAAAATATAGAGCAATAGGAAGACTTGTGTACATTTGTGAGATTTGTGTACGTAAGTTTTAAGAATGAATGAATTGTAAGATGTCAATACCAACGCCTGAATACAATGTAGGAAATGTAGTAAAAAATGGAATACAGAGATTCGCAATAATTGAATTTTTATTTATAAGAAACTGCTGTACGTGAAATTCTAGTTATTCTTGCTGACGACACTTCGTCGAATCTTTGAATCACTTTGTAGCTAAAATATTAATGTAAATCAATTGAAACGCGCTGTTGACAACGAAGAAATATGACAATGTCCGAACAAACGAATATCTTTTCAATAATATTGTTAAAGTATGGTATCGTGGCGACGGAAATTATTACTGCGGGGAAGTTAAAATGTTATTTATCACGTTATTTTTTACGTATTTTTTTTTACGTACACATTACGTTTTACATGTATATAAAACTCGATAAATAATAATAATAATTAAAAATATTTATGTATACTATATATAATGTAATATATATGTATTTATATATATCTCATCCACTCTCGCGTGTAGCCGAGTTGGCTCCAGCGTGAAAAGGTGAAAGCAGATCGTATGGAATAATCCGTGGAGAGAAGTCTCGTGCAATAAGGAAAAAAAAAAGAGAGACAACGATCTCTCGAACGCGTTCTCCATGTATGACGAATCTGGAACTAAGCCTTGACACACCGGATGGTAGAATTTAGGTCTTTATTTATCAGATAAACGCTTCCATCGACGCATTCGGCTGTGTTACGTAACAATGTAACAATGTAATTAGGCAGATTAACTGTGCTATATTTACCGAGATAGATTGTCAATTGTAAAACGACAGGAACTAACGGAAAACATTCTCTGAATTGTCTTACATCTGAATTTCTCCGATTTGTCACGTATTATTGGATCATTCCATAAGTAAGGCGATTTTTTGTCTCTCTTTTATCTTTAAAATAAAACAAAAAATTTGCCATTTTAATTTTAATCAAAAAATATAATTTTCCTTTATTTACAACTTATACTCATCTTTTAATCTTAAATTTTCAATTCTCTGGCGAGATTAAAGTCGGTTTTGAGCTAAAGAATAAATCAAGCTCTCTTTTATAAATGCTTTATTTATGGGATGACCCAATATTACAAGCGTTTATGTCGTCTAGAATAGAACGATATCAGTTCGTTATTACTTGTTGTGCCGAGGAGAAACTAAAGTCAACTGTAACACGGTAAACGGTTGTTTGTGGACGATAGGCGAGAAAGCGGCAGTGAACTTTTGAAACTTTCCACGTGAAAGTGCAAGTGAAGATGTTGCCTTTACATCGAATACTCGATAAACTGACTAAAACACAATTTTTATCGTAAATAAATTCGAATTACGTTATACATTAATAATTAATAAATAATTTAAATTAAGGAATCGATGACGCATCGTTGAGCGTGGCAAAGCGCGATTAACTGAGGAATAAATGAGTTGAACGTTAAAACCGAATTTACTTCACGTCAAATAAAACAATTACGTCTCTTTGTTTCTGTCTTTCTTGATAATTAATGAGCCTTACAATGAGCGAAATATATTATAACATTTTAACTAGTTTAAGTAAAAGTATACTTCAGATACTTTTTCTTTTCCAAATGATTGCCTTGCGTTTTCGTTTTCGTTCATGAAATGGCTCGACCACTGATTGCCTCAAACCGCAAACACAACGACACGAAATATTATCTTAATTGGTTCTCAGGTATAATCAGGACTGCGAGAATTGCCGAAGATGACGATAACAATAATCGACATTTTTATCGCGCGCACAAGTGTCAATCAAGTGAGAGTTTTATCAAGATTCTCATTTTTATTTTAAATTTTTCTTTCAGAAAACCACTAATGCACGCGAAACATTATAAAAAATGAGATTAAACGTTCGACAATCGATTCGCGATATTATACGAGCTTCTTAGAAGCCAAACCGATGAAATCTATGAAATAAAGAGCAGAAAAAAACTTGATGACGCTATATAAACTAATCGAAATTAGGAGATTTACAAGAGGCGGAGACTATCAGTTCGGCTCCCGAGAGACTCGTACACAAATATCAGACGGATTACATTATGGAAATTGGCCAAGCCGCGACGGAAATTTCCATAATGAAGATTGCCGGGATTTTACGATGCGCCTCGCCGTTTTTTCACAACGTGTAAACGTGCTAGGTCAATGCAACGGCGCATAACGCGCTCGTTGCAACAGCTCGCGATGGGGATCTGTCATCTATCCAGCCCAGTCAATTAAAGACATGCCCATCCTCTTCCTGTTCGCTTTCTGCTCGTCCGCTGCAACTTGACCCTTCGTCAACTTCTTTTAGTATTTAATAATACCTTGTCATTAATTATAATCTTATGTTATGTGATTACATAAACATAATCCCGCTCACAAATAAAAGAAAGATATTCCATATCTAAAAAAGAGATGTAAAGTTAAAGTTATTTTTTACTCCATCTTACTCCTAGTATTCTGACTTTCTCTTCTGATTTTTAAGAATTTAGATTTTTATAGAGTTTAAATTCCCAAACACACGCCTTAAAATTATCAGGAGTTTAGAATTGCATTTCTCTATTAGAAATTCTTTGAAAATTCTTGAAATTTTAGATAGTGCAACCTCCTCGATATATATAATCACATATTCTTCTGATACTTTGTCGAATTTTAAGACTTTCGATTTTCTCGATTCAAAATCCCGAATTCTTATAAATTATGAAAATTCTTGGAATTTTACCTCTTCGCTTATTATGTTCTCCCGATACTTTTTATAAGACAAGTGTTTTGTATTATCAATGCACATTTTATTACATTTTTACAAATTACATATAAAAATTACATATATCATACAATCATACATTATTAGTGATACATATATATACATACATATACAGATCTTTTGTCTATTAGCATTAATTACATACAATTTTTGACAGAGACTTTAATAATCATCGTTACTATAATTATGTATATATTAAATTATATCGAGCAATTCTTAGCTCCTCTTTCTCTGTTTACATATTTACATATTATTACCTGAACTGTTTTATCGATTGAAATTATATGATAATCGATATATCTTATGATAAACATAAGACGTTTTAAAAATATAATACGGATAATTACATTTTCTGCAAGAATGCTATAACGTCTTCAAAATTTTTAAATTTAGACGATATCGCTGCATCGTATTCTCTGGATGGTTTCTCTTTCTTACAACAAATCTCATCGAAAAAGGAGCTCGCATTAAAAATCTTAAACTCGTATGTCAGGCCAATTCGAAAGTGAACGCTCTAATCAGTACTCTTAATTTTAGTGTAGAATGTCATATAGAATCAGTAAAGCAACAAGTCGCGTAACTTGCCCTTGACACAGTTCCAGTCCTATATCATTCTCCCATTGTTACGTTATCATGAGAAGTTTCTCAGTGCAAGTAATTATTGTACGGCGAACGTGCGGCTAACTACGTAGATAATCAGCGGGGAAAAATGAAATCGATGAGTCTGAAAATTATGCATGCGAGACGGTGCAAAGTGGCCTGCTGATGCGCGCGCGCGAAGAGACAACTATGAAACATTTATGAGAAAGAAACCGTCGTTGCAAAAGACGGGATATAAATATTAATGCTCATATAAATAATTAATTTAATATTAAATTAACTATTGGGAAACAATACGAAATCACATTTTAATTATGAAATAATTGCGCATCGACAAAGAAACCTTGAAAGAGTGGACTTTCAACACATTTTGTTAACTGTCTCGACAACGAACTTAAATAAAAAATTCAATTTATTATTCAGCGCACAACGCAAATGATTCCGAAAAAATCGACAAAATTATTTCGGAGAATGTATTTGGCTAAGCAATCGTGAATTAAATACTATTTGAATTCAAAGACAATAATTAAGTTGAATAATCTCGCGACATTAAAGACTACGATTTTAAAAATTAATACGAGCCATAAACTCCGTGGCATGAATTTTTAAGTAGATTTTCATCGCTTTCGTATATTAAATTTCTATCGGTGGAGTCCATTTGTTCAAAGATTAGATTCACGAATATTCATCATTTATTAACTAAATTAAAAGCAATTATATTAATGTGAAAAAGAAAAACGAACAAATTTGGAAATAATGCGAGTGTTTAAAGCAAATGTACACGGCGATACTTCGGGATCGGCATCTTTTGCCTGTGAACATGTATTCAGAAAAATAAATAAAACAAACAAATCGACTCTCACTCTCTCTCCATCCTTTTGCCTCTCTCTTATATAATTCGAAATAATTTCTACCTCACGTATGCAATCATTCTTAGATTACACAAATGTTAAAAATTACATTCCAGCTGCCATTCCCATTCAGCGACGTACTTGACACGCTATCGCTATACACATTTATAATTATAATTATTATATATAATTAAATTATAATCGTTATATATAATTAAATTATAATTGTATTCTACAACTTAATGCTTTAAGTGACAACTCTTTCGACGAATTTTTACATTTTTGCGAGGTAGTAAAACTCACGGCAAAAGGAGAAAAATATTAGTAGAAGTCATGAAAACTTTCTGCTCATGATATAATAGTTTCTTCTTTTTTTTTATTTGTTTTTATTAACCTCTCAAATATTAAAGTAAGTTTGCGATAAGAAATAAAAAACACCGTGACATACATGTGACAGTATCGACCTAAAATTTGTTTCTCGATTTCGCGTACGAACACCATGGTTTATACAAACTATATATGTACATACATAACTCCTCCATGTGTGACGTTATATATATATATACATAGTTATATACATCGACGATTATCTAATACAAAGCTAATACGAAGTAATCTAGGTAATGTACTATTATTTACAGAGAATAATTACTATTAATAGAATTTTGGTAGGTTCCCAAGAGCTCGTTTGCGCAGCACTTTCATTTTCGCTTAATTATTCTAATCAAACAGTAGCGATCGTCACGCGTTATGCATCCGTACAAAAAAAAAAAAAGAAAACCAATAAGACAGTTATTCTGGTCCAAGTATCGTCGAATGAAAAAAAAAAAAAAAGGAACAGAACGTACCTACATAGAATACGATCAGATAATTCTTGACAAAGAAAAATATTAAACGATACATAAAATTCTTTTTGCATGCTCCATTACACATTTGTCTTTTGTTTCGTTATGTTTTTCATTGATTCTTTTTTCGTATGCTTTTCATATATTGTGCTGATATGAATTGTATATTATCAATTCTGTATTGTTGTGCATGCACGTCGATATTATTATTACGAAAGAAACAAAATTATAAAGGACACGACAGTTCTAAAAATAATTGAAATACGCGTGAACATGAAACGTTACAATATCTTTTACATATAAACGAAACCTTGAAAGAAAAACATGTCGCATATCTCGCTGTTATAAAAAAATATGAGCGCGTCATAGAATTTTTATGTGAAATACGTTTGAGATAACAAGACGACAAGAAATACGTAGGGTCTGATACACCTGGAAAAAAGCTAACGATAAATCGACAAGAAATACGTACAATCATCTTTTAGCTAATATATTTTTCACGCAATCTATCAAGAACTTTAATCGCGAAGATACATTTAATAATTGATATTCCATGATAAGTGTTCCTATTTTAAGTGAACATACTTTTGTTGCCATTATGTCACGATAGATTGATGTTGATTGTACGTTTCATTAATATTTAAACGTTTAAAATTATCCAAAAACAAAATTTCTCATTTTCTTATATAACTTGTTACATTTGTATAAATGAACAAATTGGCTATAAACTTATAAAAAATACTTTTTGTTAGCACACAGCTAAAATACACATAATATTCAATATAGCTTGTCGTTAGAATCTTTATCAAAAACACTTCTCTCTTCCTCTCTCTATCTCTCTCTCTAAAGAAATTTCCCAATCCTTCTTTCTAAAAATGAAGAAAATGAGACAGATCAGCATCCTAATTTAAAACAAGATTTAATGGATGAACTTTCTGTGTCACTCTAACGTCGTGTTACAATTGATAGAAATTGTACAAGAAAATAAGAAATTTTGTCTTCGGATGGTTTTTAATATACCAATTATATCAAATAAATCTCTCCGATTAGTTCTTAATAGATTACGTGAAAAATGTATTAGCTGAGAGATAATTGTACATATTTCTCTTTAATTTAAAAAGAATTTAAAAAGAAACGCTGTATAGTATATCGTTGCAACATAAAAATTCCAAAACGTGCTCATGTGTTTTCATAATAGAGATATACGACATATACCTCTTTCAAGACTCCACGTACACAGGATGTATGGTAATTACCGTGCCATCTCTCATAAGCAGATATAGAGCGGATTAAACTGAATATGAAAGTCCTTTTACTATTTTGTGAATTCCTCAATAATTAATGAAAAATTAATTAATAAATTTGCGAATTATGCGTGCATTCGTACGATTCAGCGATAAAAAACAGTCCAGTATTACGCATTTGTTGCTGCTAGAAGCACGCTATTCCCAAAGCCTTCCTGCGCACGTAGTTGTATGTTGGACTGATTTATCTCGCCGAATCGCGCGAACGCAAAACAGTAAATGACTTTTCTATTCAGTTCAACTTACTCTATCTACGTACGAGAGATCGCATGGTAATTGCCAGACATCCTACATAAAAGATGCTTTAATGATTAAGACTCACATCTCAATATTTTTTGGAAATTACATCTTTTTATATGAAATACAGTAATATGTCAAACAGTAATTACGCGATTTTTCATTAAAATGACAAAAGATATTAGTTTTTTCCTATTAAATCCTGTTTTAAATCAGGATATCGATTTATCTTTTTTTTTCTTTCTAAAAAGAATTAGAAAATTTCTTCAAAGAGAGAAAGAAGTGTTACAAGTGTTGCCGGTAGCAACTATTTTGATCAATAAACATTCCGACAATAAACTATATTGAATATGACATATATTTTAACCACACGCAAAGAGAAAATTTTCTACATCCTTCAATGTTCACACTTTCGATATTTAAGAAGATATCAACCATTAAGCGAGCTAAAATTATGCCGGGAAGGCGAATCGTTCCTGCCAAACTTGCGAGCGGTGTGTACTTTTTAAAATTGGATCAAGGACAATCGCAATAGAATTTATACGTCCCCTGAATCTCTCGGTGTCCCGCGCAATTTCTTCCCAAGGACCTCTTCGGGCTGCTCGGTACGCATAATTCCATGTTACCATGACGTGTACGACTGGAGTCGGGTCGAAACTCACCTGAAATAAAATTTCGAATCTCAGTATTCTCTGGCTAATACATTATAGGTATATATGTAAAATTATATCTCGTGTGTTTTTAATATCATATAATTTATCATATTATAATGAAATTAATCTACTGCATTCAATATTAATGTTCAACAATCTCAAATTCACTTAGCGCATAGCTGCGTTAAAATGATCATCAAGCATTCTATTACATTAGTCATCTTAAATTACGATATATCAGAAGTGGAAGGATATCGAAGCGAAGATACACGCATAATAAATATCATCAGTTAAATTATCTAGTTCGGCAAAAATAAAGTTGCAATTGTTAATGTTCTTAAATTTATAACATTTGATATCAATTTTATAACATGTTATATAATATGTTATGCTTATAGATTTTCTTATCGTAATTTTCTCGCTTCTGAAATCAAAATGGCTGACGTAAATATCGAAGATCTTTAAGTACCTTCTTTGTTTGCGCTGTTGATGCCTCGCTGTCGTCATCGGCAAAGACGATCGAGTCTCCGTCATGGAAGCTCACCTCATTATAGCCGTCAACGTCGTCGTTCCCTTCAGTGGCAAAGGAACTATTGGTAGTATCAGAAGTTTCGGAAATATTAGAATCGTCAGAAGTTTCAGAACTGTCTGACGGTAATCGGCGGCGTTGAAACGAATGCTTTTGCATTAGACTATTAAAATCTTTGCAGTATTTGTCGCTAATATTCATTAAACGACCATGCATTCTTGGGCATTCCATCGCTTCCTGTTCGTCGAAAACTATGGAACTATGATTACTGTCTTCAGAATCGACGGAACTCTCCGACGACGACCGCATCCGAAACGAAACTTCCTCGGCATCGTGAGTTTCGCTGTTGGAATCCTCGTAGGAACTATCCCTCTTCCTCATCGAATTAGGTACATAACGTGCTCTGATAGGGTATTCTGTCGCTCCTCGTTTCTCACGTGTCTCGGACAATTTTTCATCATCGTCGTCCTCGAAAACGATCCAATCATCCTCAACTTCAGCGAAGTGCTCCGACGATGTCCGCGATCGGGACGAATCCTCTTGTGCATCAGACATCTCGCCAGTCCTGTCCTCGAGATCTTTCATCCTCGAAGGCTTAGCTATGTAACGCACCTTGGTCACGTGTCTCGCTTTAGTCTTCTTCTTCTTCTTGCACGCCTTCGATTTTCCTCTCGTAGTTGTAGGGGATCTAGATATCGACGGACTATCGATCTGTTTTATGACGTGATCCGAAGAATCTATGCTGTTTAAGCTATCAAACTTACTGCCTAACGGGTGATCGCTTGGTGCTGCACCGACAAGATTGTTCTGCATAGTCTCATAATCTTCGTACTTGATACATTCCTTCCGGCGTATGGTTTGACTCACCCCAGAACGCCTCAGCTGACACTTCGCTCTACCGCGACCACGACCTATCGCGATGGCGTTGGCCTTTCTCCGATAGTGTTGCTTCGTGGGATACAACGGACGCTTTACCGACATTCTCGCTGATCCTGTTTTGCAGTAAAGTCGATTAGTCACGATGTTCCAGGTCGACGTCCAAGCATTTCGACAGACGTTGGAAAAACGCGACATTGAATTTTCCTCAACGACATCTACGGGCGTGGTTGGCACATCCGAATGAGAAACCACGAGGAAAGATTCGACATCCGTGTCTTTGTGGATGTCAACTTCGCGCTTCCGTGGATCGACATCCAAAGGACCAGAAGCATCAGTCATATTGTTCATTGTTTTTTCTATTTCGTTAACTTGCAGCATAGGGTGAGATTCTGTTGTACTATTATCGTCGTGCGTGTCATCAGAATTCTTTCTGAGGTTTACATCATTTCTGATCTTAACTGAATTAGAGTCGTCGACGATATGCCAGCCTTGTAGGTAATCCGTTTCGGGCGCACGTCCAAACATAGAAATACAATCTGTGGGGTATTTTTCCTTCGAATCGTGTGGCAATTTTTCCTCTTCCATTGTGTACGACAGATCCTTGGTCTTCATCGGCGAATTTTTCAAAAGACCAGAAGTCAGTATTTCATCATTTACTACCGTAACTGACAACGGATTATTCGCTCGATATATCAAATTCCGTAAATAACGCCCTCTTATAAAATTCTGGAGGAGAGATGTTCTCCGATCATTCGACGATGGTGCGTTGTCTTCTCCACGTAAAACGCAGAGCGTTTGCCTCTTTTTCATCGCAATGTAAGACATTATTGGGTGTTGTGCGGAATACATTTTGAATTTGCTGCAGGACGAGAAAGATTGACGAACACGTGATGCTAGAGAAGTCTAAACGTGCAGATCCAAGGAGCAAAAGAATCCCTGGCGTGTTTGAACTCAAACTGGTGTTCTGCCTGTTCTTCTCGATATTGTTAAATGTGCTGAAAAAAATATATAATACGCCGATTAGAATATATTTATCAGCAAATAAAAAAATTACGATAATATAAGACTTTATGCGAAACACGGTAGATTTAAAAAATTTTAATCTTGGACATTGAGAAAAATTGCAAATTAAAAATATTATACATAAATGTACATGATAATAATGACAATGTGATAAAAACAAGAAGTCGATATGAACTTTTAACTTTAGACTGTCGCGTGATAAAAAAGATTTGCGGAAGGAGGATCTGCTCGGTCTGATGTTCTCGCGAGCCTCACAATTTTGACGCTAACATTATTTACATACTGATATCAAGACTAAACTTGAAAATAAACAGTTACCGTCAACACCTGTGTCGAGCTCGCTAAAGTATAAACAAATAAGACAAACGGAATTTAAATTGAACACAATTAAATTTAAATTACAAAAAATAAAAAAAACTTTATTATTGAATTTTCGTTGACTCCCTTTAGATATTTTAGAAAAAAAAAATTGAATTTTGTTTATGAAGATTTCGTTTTACCGTTGGAAAACAATGTTATGGAACTGTTATAATTAAAATACACAATTTCTTTTTCAAATTCTTCTTTTCCGGGATGTTTTTTTAATTTCAACTTGTTAAACCAATGATCCTGTATATGCATTATATTTCTCTCCGTTTTCTTCTTCGGCTCGAAATAAATTTCTCTCTAAAATTGAAAATTTTACATCAAATTCATTAAAATTTACATTTCCCAAAAATGCAAAAAAAAAAAAAAAAAGCAAAGTTAATTTCTCTTCATAATTCGACTAGTTTCACTACATATCTTCATAATTAAACCTCCAATTTAAATTAATCAATAACTTTATCGATTAAAAATTTATTAAATAAGGATTTCTAAAAATTTTGAATCCCCAAAGCTCAACTTAAAAAAAATTCATATTTTCGGCCGCTAAATACAATTTATTTTTCAAATTCTTTTTTTCCGGGAGGTTTTCAAATTTTAATTTATTAAATAAATTATCCCGCATATGCATATGCCACTAACATCCCAAAATTTTCCTGGAAAAACCCCAATTAGTCGAAAGCGCGCCCGTCGCTCGGAGCGGCCACGGCCATGTTATCAGGCATTCTTTTCACACAGAAGTATGCGTTATCGCTAGTATGTACATACTGTCACAGTATATCACATTACTATCTACATTACTATCGATAACACATATATTTCTCTTTATGTGGAGATCGATAAACAACACGGCCGTGGGGGCCCGTGAGGAAAAACGGCTGCGTGACGCGGGAAACGTCGCGTGCTCCATGACGCTACATTCCTCGTGCACGTTTCGGCCGTCGGGCGTCCATGCCGTCTATAGCGATCGCACGGTTATTCATAATGACGCAAAAGTCCGTCGACTCATCTACGCGCGCGAACATATTGCGCGACGCGTGCACCGCGCGCGCGAGACGCGCTTCGCGCGTATGTATAATCACATATGCACACGTGCATATACACATTATCGCGCACACATTCGTAACTTACGTGTGCTAATACTACGATCCTCGACGCCCTCGTAGCGACGCAGCGGGTAACGTCGTATGCAATGCCACGGGTTTCCCGTCAAACACTGAAGACAACACGATTCGGGGATGATTTCCTTTAATTGCAGATCGGCGTCGATTGCCGTGTTGATTCCAGTCGATATCGCGCAGGCGAGGTTATTTATCTCAAACGGGCACATTTTTACAGCACACATGTTGACGAGATACTTCAAGCGGCCATCTTCAACTATAAAATGAGAATGAGAATGGACGGGGCAACGGGCAACGAGGAACGCGTACACCGTTCCCCCAGCTGTGTCGACGGCGCATGCGCGGCGCGACGCGAGCGAGGCAGACGCGAAGGCCGCTCAGGCGCGTATCGAGGGACAATCCGAGGGGGCGCCCGCGCCCCCCTTTCCCACCCGTACTGCCCGGATATTTTGTTTTGATTGCATATCCCAAATACCTTTATTTTCTCACTTTAGAAAAAGATACTTCATTCTGCAGTTTCTGCGGGAAAAAAATACGATGAATAATTTCTCACGCCCCCTCGAAAAATAAATACGCAAGTGCGACCCCGGTCGGCGCGGCGCCTCGCGTTTAGGCACGAGCCTGCCGAAACGGTCACGTGACTGTTCCGCGGGGTAGGAGGCGAGTTCTCGAAAATGCGTGAAACGGCGGGTTTTTAGAAATGTTCTACCGATTCGGCGTCTAAATTGTTGCAAAACAATGAAGAATGTTGCGTGATGAATTTTCTTTCAAATCGGGAGCGGTTGAAAGTGCTATTAATTAAAAAAAAACTATAAAGACGAACCTTCGGAAAGTAAAAATTAGAGAAAGAAAATTAAGCGAAAGAAACGGAAAGGAAACGGAGGAAAAATTCCAGAATATTCGACGACGGAAGACGCCCCGACGTTGTAATTTATTGTGACGTTCGGCGACGCCGCGTCGGCCTATATAAACTGTTTAATTATTCAACCGGATCAAAGGTCTCGGCTTCGAGGAATCTATATAGACATCGAGAAGGCGCGCGATTATCGTTATCTAACGGTCGTTATATCGGTTAGTCGCTAACGGCTAGATGACGGGTAGATAATGCGAAGATGTCGTCATCGTTTCGGAAGAATCAGGAAGAATTCATCTCGGACCGGATCGCGGAATTCGATTGAAATGAATAATAATCTCGAGTTCGCGGATCATATGATTGCAGGCGCGTGCCCGATCGAGTCGTCGCTCCCACTGACTTTATTTCCCGCTTTTTGCGCTTAAGTGCCGGTTGTTCCAACCTGTTGGTAAGCTAACTAATAGTTAAATCATATGTCTATCTTTGTCTAATGTAAAGGATAAACAAAGACAGATATATGATTTAACTATTAGTTAGTTTACCAACAGGTTGGAACAATCGGGCCTTAGTCTAGACACGCCGAGATTAATGTCGAGAGCGAGAAGGGAGACAGAAGGCTCTTTATATCCTTTCTCCGATGTCTGTTAGTTACTCGATACAGATTTGATTCGAAAGGCGATCCGCGCTCGGAAAACGCAACGCGTATCAGGTTTTCTCGGTTCTCGCTTCACTTAGCTCTCGCTTCTCATCTCTATCGCCGCGTTTTGTAACATCTTATATTTTACGACGGTTAAATTCTCACAGCACAAATGTACTCTTAAAATCGAAGGGTCTAGTACGTTATTTGTTTTTCGTCCATTTTAGCTCCAACGAATGACTGCCTCAACTGCCTGATGAGAGAGAAAAAAAAGGAAAAAGATTTCTTGGAATGTGCCTGGCTACTGGCTTTCGACATAAAAGGACTTTCGATTTTTAACGGAAAAAGAGAGAAAGCGAGCGAGAGGGATCATTTACAACTTGCACATTCTCTAAAATGTGCAGCGTTCGGACAAGAAAAAAATCGAACATTGTTTTGATAATAAAGGAACTGAAAATACATTCCTATAGTAATAACAAAAGAGTCTAACATTGCATTTAATAATAACAAAGGAAAGACTCGAACATTGTTCTAATAATAATAAGAATTGCAGCAAGCGGACAATTCGACGCAGCGTTATTTGTATTCGCTATCTATACTTGTAACACAATTTTGCCGATACAGTCGATTTCCGCCGCGATTATGCACGTCTGATTTGTATGCTCGTTCAGTGATAATGCCTGTATTTCGGTTGAGGAATGCAGTGTACATCGCGTTATCTAGCGTTATCTAGCTTTATGTAAGCTGTAAGCTAAGCTGTTTGTCGAAGCCCGTCGCGTCGGTCGCCGCTGGATGTCTAAAACCAACCCGAGGGTCACGGTTGCCCTTATAGGGGCGGTATTGTTAGATCTTGTAAGACCATGCACCCAAGTCTTGGTGATTGATGGTCCTGAAATTCCAACTCAAAATCAATAAAAGTAGTCGCCCAGCGTTCCGAAATTGTTTAAGACAATCTTTTGAATATACTACGAAAACCAGTCTACGTGGTATATATAAAAGTAAACCTGAGATCGAAAGGCCTCATGGTCATCCCTCATTAACTCGGATGCGTGTCTTTCTCTCCGTTTCGGTTATTAAACCCTGTGTTTTCGAATGGAACAATAGAAAACATATAAAAGAAAGAAAAAAAAAAGAGAAAAAATATCGTATAAATCACGCCTTCAAAGCTGAAAAGACACGAAAAAATTTCATGAGCAAATATAGTGACTAATGTGTATACAACAAATAAGGATAAATAAAAATTGAATTAAAAAAATTGTCGATTATCCAGCGGGATATGTATTATGATTAATAGTTTTAAAAATTTCATACGTTTCACATTTCATTTTTATGCTTTTGTACCACACTTTCGAATCACCAATTACTATTCGATACTGAAACGCAGTCTTAATTCTAGTTTCAGTGCTTTTTCCAAAGCTGGAAAAATTAAATTTCAAGTACTCGGCGATTCGAGAAAGGCAAACTGTATGAAACTCACAAACATTATTATTACGCTTAAAATTCTGCGCGATAATCTCTAAAATATTAAATAAACTTATGGTGGACATTGATCCACTGATCTAACGCTGAGAAATATTCTAAAATTAGCAAGCGTGTGTCATCCAGATTTCCTCTTTAGAAACAATCGTCTGATTCACATGTGCAACGCGTGACGAAATATTTCTCGGAATTGTATCACGTGTATCGACAATCAGGTACGCAAATGCAACGCGGGTATAAAATTCCGAGTTTATGAATGCAGGTATTGCGTAACGCAAGTGCACCACATTCGATATTCGCTGCCGAGATATCTCGCGTCAAAACAAAAACGATTTCACTGTAGATCGTTCTGTCCTTTTCCTGCGTTTGTCACAACGCTCTTTTTTCCTCCATACCGGGTTACTCAGGGTCGTGAGTAACTTTCCAGCCTCCTCCGCCTCTCCACCTTTCCTTCTTATCGTTATCCATCTCTTACACGCGCGTAGTACTGTCAATGATCGTTTCGAGCAATGTTAACAGCATTTATCGAATGTATGCAAATCACGTTGTGCGGATCGACGGAACATGTGAAATAATTGCGTCAGAAAATGCGCGAACGGAGATCGGCAGGACTTTACGATAGTCGAAGTCGAAGTCCCACGTGTTAAACACGCCGAGATAAAATTTCAACTATACGTGCAATACCTTTCTTCACATTTCCCTTTCCTACGAATTCGAAAGTAACCAGAACTCTTCCGTTAGAATTTTTCGGTGCGAAACTATAAAGGTTTAAGCATATAACATTGTACATGACAGCGTGACACAGCATTTTTCATCTAACGGCTTTTCTATTGTAAGAACCAGAAAGAAAGACGATAGGCTCGCATTGTTAAAGCACATTTTGTTCAGAGTGTAAATCCCCATTTCCTTTTTTTCACGAGTACGCTGATAATTATGGGAGCTTTCCACTGGAAAGTTTCCAGCAAGTGACACAAGTCGACACAAGCATCGTTCTATCTTTCTTTTTTTGGCAATGAGTAACAAAAATCAAACGATACTTGTGTCGCTTGCTGGAAAGCTCCCAACATCAATTAAATTAGTGGTAAAACGTACACGTGAAAGACCGAATTTTTCATTCGTCGTGGTCCGATTAATTAGCAACGTGGATAAGCGGCTTTCGGATAACCGTGTCGTCCCCACCACGCTCGCGAAGGCCAGCGAAGATAGCGTTTGATTTCTCTGTGTCTTTATTGAAAATATTATACACTCCGTTGCGTCTCTGACAAGTAACGGAAATAAATTTACACATAATCCCTCTATTTCTTTTTTTTACATTTAAATCCGTTATAATAATACAAGACTATCGAAAGATAAAAAATGCTCAGAGGTATTGAACGCCAATACCGAATTGAAATTGTTGGAGCACGTCGCTCCTCATGAACAACAATGGTGTAACTAGGTTCAATTCTATACGGGCAATGTTCCCCAGTTTCATCGCGATACCCCCGCCGACAGCGCAGCGAACGTTCTCCGTGAAGATCTTCATGTTTTCATTGTAGAGATTACCTGAAAATTTCGCATGTGCCATAAGCATCGCATAAATTGATCGAAGATCTGATTTAACATCTAATCTAATCTAATCTAATCTAATCTGATTTAAGATCTGATGAAACATGAAATTAAGCGAGGATTATATTCAGAAGCTAGCGTAATGCTCCATAACCAAATTATTAAGACTAATATAGACCCTAAAATTAGAAAAACAGATAATCATTATTGATCGCACAAATGTCCATAAATTCTTTCACTTCTTAAATCTCATTTAAGTTATATTTAGAACAATTATAGGATCAAGACTTCAAGTCTGAAAATAAACTGGGCGATCAATTCCTAGAAATCAATTCTGTGCGCTGATGATAGAAATGATCTATCGAATTACTACGCTCACCGTATGCAAAAGTGAAGTTGGACAGGTTGCCACCGTTGATGAAACCGTGCAGTCTAAATAAATTCCCGAAACTGTTACGGCCGGGTCTGAACGGGAGCGGCGTGTACACGTGAAGGGCGGCTGCCCAATACATCTCGCCGCCCACGAAATTTCCATCGTAGCGGGGCCCGCATCCTCTCATGTCGAATCCGCGTAGATTCAGCGGGCCGCCCAAGAAGAAATGATCGGCTATACTTATCTTCATGTCGTTGCTGATTGCACTCAACAGCCCGGACTGAAAGCCCAGCTGGAATGTCTATTCGAAAAATAAAAAAAGTCGTCGATGTAGTATTTCACAATGTATGTAGAAATTGTCGAATTAATGAAAGAACGTTTCGCAAGAAACGAGAACTTACAAGGTACTCGTGCGGCGACCAATTAGTTTGTATGGCAAGCTCGTTCTTCAAGAAACCAATATCGCCGCCCAGGCCAGCCATTTCCGTCGTTAATCGCATGAGACTCCCGGTAACGGGGAATATAGGAGAGTCCCTTTTGTCTATCGTCCAGATGTACCTCAGCGCGGATTTCAAATTCGGACCGCACTGTTCGCGAACGCGAAAGGCCGCTTGTTTCGAGCAGCTAATGTTCCTAAATGCAGCTTCATACTGTACGTTGTGCTTCGAGGTGTCTGTCTGATTGAGCTCCATGTCGAGGAGCAGCCCTTTGTCGTTCTGCTTGAAACCGGACCACGGGAAATCGTGCGTCGTGCTGAACACGGTGCCGGTTAATCTGCAAATCGTTAATCCTGTTATTATGACTCTGATAACGCGCGCATCAAGAATTAGATACAGGTTACGGATATCCCGACTCACACTGCGTTGTATAAGCTCTGCGGAAATGGTTTAATGGCGGATACATTGAAGTTGATCGAACTTTTGTTACCGTGAGAGTATTCCATCTGGATGCGTTCCGCTCGCCCGAACAGATTCGGCGCTCTCGCGCCAACGATCAGGGATCCCTCGTTGTTCCCGACCATCGTGCTGATCCCGCCGACCAAACGTCTCATTTCACGTACCCTGAAAGTGACCTAACGACAAACGTGTTCCAGTGAGCTTTACGGATAAGCGCACTATCGCGTGTGACGTACAAAGAACGATAAACTGCGTTACATTTAAATCTGAAAAATTACTTATTCTTTGTCGAATTAAATTAATTATATAGACCCACTTCAACACCATCGGGAGTGGCGTCGGGTCCTTGACTGGTGTCGATGTAAATTCCGATATTTCTAAAGCATCCCAACGCGTCCAGCTTCTCCCGCACTTTGTAAGCACGTATAATGACATCCTCGAAGTTTCTAGCTTTAAACAAGTCCGTCACTTGCGATTTGATTATGTCGTCCTTCGTTCGTACAAGTCCATCTACGTGTATCTTGTCGACTCGTGCCTGGAGAAGATGACAAAGAGCAACGATCAAAATCCATAAATAGAAATACGTAACTGCTACGTCTAAGTAACGTCTATTAACGTACCTCCACTGTCTGCAGAAGAATGTTCTTCGTCTGCACATTCTCTTCTTCCCTATGTAACTGTGATTTGCTACTGGAAAATGGTGGCTGTCAGAAAAATAATGGAATTTTAGTTATTAAAATCAGATAACATTAATATATTTTTGTTTACTGTTTAGTTTTTAAAATGAAAAAATTAGAGATCCAAGTAGAATATCATAAGAATAAATTGAATTGTTTTCATATATGAACTGTAGACATACTAGGTCATCGTTTGCATTTGAATTTGCGGAGGCGTTCTTAGATAATTGACCCAAGCCTGAAGAATTACTAGGTTCCTAAAAAAAAGAAAAAAGATACCTCCGTTAGATCTCACAATTGTACACATAACGTTTCCTCAATAAAAATCTGCGAACATACGAGTTACGTGAAATTTACCGCGGTGCCGATCGGCGCAGATTAATATTGCGGAAATTGGGGTGAAATTTAAAATTATCCATCTCGGTGATATTATTAGAGATTGCTCATTCCGAGAATCGCAATGGGGTTTTAGGTTATGCCGTAACTTCTAATGATAAATACGTGCCTTAGCGTGGACAGTGCCCATTATTTCGTCGACGAATTTCTGCCCTGCCTTTTCGTGGCTGCCGCGTTAAAATCTCATGCCAAAATCGGTCGCGACGACGTCGAGGGTAACGAGCGATGAACTCACAATTTAAAATGCCGAATGCGGAAACACATATATATGTATACCGAACACGGACCGCGCGCCGTCACCGGTGCGACCGCGCGCATCACCACGTTAAAACGCGACACGTGACACTTTCTCATATAGGGTGTTCGGATTGTCAACGATCCAAAACTGCGCGCTTCGAGCGTGCTTTTCTCCACGATCTGTCTGAAATAAGTGCATAACCGAAGAAAAATTAACACATCAAATTACATATTACATCAGGAAAATTGAAACTAGACATATTTAATTTAAACCCCATTTACTTACTTAATGTCTTTTACTTAACTACCTTTACTTACTTAACTAACTTTAACTACCTTACTTAAAACAAAAATGTTTAAAACAGTGTCCACTGTTTTAAATCAGTTTTAAACAGACAGTTTTAAACAAATTGTTTAAAACATGCCAACCCTGCTTAATGTTTATGCATTAACAAATGTTTTTTTTAAATCTTATTTTCTTACAAAAATACGAAGTGATCGTTTGATCCTAAATATCAGGAAAAGAAATTGTTAAATTTTACTTAAATCAATTCAGCAACAGTTCAATTATACTTTCATCTTTTATTTAAAATATTTTAATATATAGATCGAGATTATAAACTTGAGATGTATATCCTTATAGTATGTAACAATAAAATATTGACAAAAGGAACAATTAGTTTTGTTTCAAGATCTTCTAGAAGGAATATAATAAAAATAATATCTCACAGCAGTGTGCTCTAATAATTACTTAGACGAGATTCTACCCCATACAGTTTACATAATCTTTCTGAGAAAAACCCGTGTTTTTAACACAATATATAAATAATAGATATAATTTTATGTATTACAATCTTCGGCGACATCGTGCCCAATGATTTACTTCGGATATGAAATGATTCTTAATCGATCGACAGCTAAATAATGCATTTCTTGATATTTGCAAATTGTTGATCAATTACTGTGCGTGTAATTTATAATTAGAGATCATAATATCTAATATTGACAGATTATTATGGCTTTTGTAACATGTCTGTTATATATTCTTAACCATATGTGTATGCAGCTGAATAGCAATATTATTAATTCTATTTCCTCCGAAGTTAAACCATAGGATACAACAAAGATACATATATATCGCTTCACTATTTTACATACAACGTTATAAAAATAATAGAAACTTGTAGTAAAAATGTATAATTCAGAAACGTTGCTAACAATAAAATCGTCGCGATAAAGTTGATGTACTCCCAGAGAAATAACAATAATATATACATATATATCAATATTGCAATATCATTTAGAAAAATTTACTCTGATGGTCGCAACATATAGATAAACATCAAATTTCAATTCTGTTAACACGTTGTCTGCCCAGTCAGTTATGTATGTCTCACCATACACCACAAATTTTTCATCATCGTAAGTAAATGATGATGAAATATCGAATATCATATGATTAAATAAGGCTATATCTCCATTCTAACATGAATTTCGTCCTTTTACTTTACATTGTTGTCTAGCTATTCATGTCATTCAAGATTTTACATTAAACGGCATTAATTTTTTATAAGTTAAAAAAATATTTTTTTATAATGTCGGTGATCACAGCGCTGCTAAAAAGTCAGGCGTCAATCACGGATGATCCCCATGGCAGTTAACGTGTTAATAAAGTTCATAAAATTTATACAGAGATTCTTATTCGCTATAAAAAAATATAACAAGTTTTATATGGCATCTGTTACATTTAGATAAGCTAGAGGTAATTAGAATGGTGGCCTTTGCATTAAAAATATATACTTTTAATGTACATATATGTACTTTCAAAAATAATATCCTCTTTCGTCAGATCTTCAGAGCAAGTCTAATACCACGACTAGCGAAAAATCACGATAATATTAAAGTGGTGCAAAAAGTTTGCCGTTTCTTTTTTTCATTTCAGCTACAATTGTTTAAAGCTACTGACAAATTTTCTAAAAAAGAAAAATAAAAGTTCTCTCTCATCCTCCTTGTCTAGATAAAAGATATATTTTACAAGTGACTATTGTAATTAATAAAAATTACTTACAAAAATAGCCCTTTAATATCAATTTTATTAATTCTATCTTTTGACATGAACGACGAACTTTTTGCACCGACCTAATAAGTTTTCAAGAACTTATGCTATTCGCGAATCGCACGGAGATTTGACGAAACCTATCTGTCAGACCATAGCTGGACTGATACGCGGGACTGCACTGACGGGCGAGATAGGACTCCCGTGGACTTCCAGATCAAATTCCGAAGTCGTCAGGCAATTTTCCATGACTCGGTTCCATCTGTCGGCACTCTCGTTGGCAACCACGTACGTTTTTGCAATTCTTGGCTCTATACCATTCATCTCGGGCCTTTCGCAAGCTCGTAGTGCTTCTTGATGTATAATAATTTCGTTGGTGATGTACGCTTCGCGACGTATCCTGTTGCGTAACTTGGCACTGATATCGGGAATGCACCATCGTATAAGGATCATCACGAGTGCCACAATATTCTGAAAAATATGCAAATACATCGCAATAATTATTATTTTCCTAATTTGTTAAGCTAAAATAGATAAATCGACATAAGATGCGGATATTTTAAAAATGAGTATACATCTAAATAAAAAGGAAAAAAAAACATACCTCAAAAACGACGATAAAAGCTAATCTAGCCGCTAGTATATGCCAGAACATGACGGTCCATTCGTATTTGTTTGGCGAGTCTGGTGGTTCTCTATAATCCGGATAGCGACAGATCTCGACTGGAGCTTGACCTAACGTTACATTTGGCTGAGATCCATTTTCCAGCTCACTAGTATTTAACTTTGATAGAGAATAATCCAGGAAACCTTCTAATGAATAATTATCAGAAATTGTGAAACGGTAAACTAATCTCGGTATAAAGTTCGAGGTGAAAGCTATGATGAATCCCTGAAAAGTGGAATTAATTGCGCTTAAAAAAAGGTTATTAAACGAAAGGATTAATAACATATCTTTGTGAAATAATGCTCTTTTCATTTTTATCAAATCTTCGATAAATTTCAAGTCGCAATTGATCTTCAAAAGTTACTCTCGAATTATAAGACTTACATTTGTAATAACGGATAATTTGGAAATGGAATCGAGAATGCGATACCATATGCCTATGTCTCTGACACGCTGTCCCACTGGCCTCCTGTACATGGTCAACAACTTTTTCGCGTCCAATCTCATCTCGAAAATGTTATTCAGTAATGCAAAGAATGGCGCTAATGGAAACGCAGCAACGAAGATCGTAACAAATCCATATTGTAGCACTACAAAGAAGAAAATTATAACTTTTTCAACTCCATGTATTTCTTCAAACAAGATTTAATGTTTTTTATATTTACCCATTTCTAAATATTCGGGAAAAAGACTTCTAGGTCCCCATTGGACCAATTTATAATCCCTGACCCATTGCAAATATTTTCTAGATGAATATCTCTTATTTGGATCTTCCAACTTTTTTGAACCAACGTGAACTTTCAAAGTGTTCAACCATTTAAAGAAAAGCGGAAAAAGCATTTCCAAAATAGTGTTCATGGTTTGTTTGCCAATCATAATAATACTCAATTGAATGCATAATTCCAAGAGACAACCACCTGGCCCGCACTCTTCTTGCCGAGATCCCATAAAGCGCCTAAACTGTCCTGGATAACCGGTAAATTGTCCTTTGAAAAATGCTATGTAAAATATAGAGGCGTAATAATTTATAAATTCCAATAAATAAATTTTCAGAGTCAAGCTGTCGTCAAATTCAGTCTGAGTACGAAGTAATTCAATCTGAAAATAGTAATATTGTAATGTAATATTTTCATTTATTAAAAGGAATAAAATATGTTTAAAGACTTTATTTTTATTTATTCAAACTGTATTTTGCAGTAACATTTTAATGAAAATTATATAATAAATATCTTCATAATCTTCAAAATATTTTAATGTTGTTTAATAAGATAAAATTCTTATATAAAAGTTTATCCTCATAAAATTACCTCTGTCAAATATTCTGCCAGCCAAACATAGAACCAATTGAACAAAATGATGCAACAAAGATTAATGCATGCGGCGGTCGCGGTAGTGAACAATATAGCATAACTGGTCACCATTGGGTGACCAGAAACGCTTAACGCAGTTAAAACCGACATTCTATACAGAACTACTCCAAGTACAGCAGCCATAGCTACAACTATCTGTAAAGTTATAATATAAGGTTATAACGAATTTTTACAAAAGACAATTTTAATATATAAGTATTATTAAATTATATAATTATTATAAAAATAATTAAACATACCAAAAGTAGAACAACTGAAAAACTGAGAATTGTAGCAGGCAATCTCATCTTCCAGTATGGTACTTGTGGCTCTTCCGCATTTGTAACAATATTGACAGACTTCTTCTTAATATGCGCAAGCCGTGCTAAGTACTGTGGCCTAGGATATTCTTCTTGAGCATCTAAACCAGTCAAATCCCATCTGTGGGTTATTTCGGCAGAATATAACTTCCATAGTTCAAGAAACCATGTGGCTACAAAAAATAATATACTATGTTATATAAAGATAGTATTCAAATATGAATCAAATATGATAGTCAATTTTATAAACAATTCATTAAAAAATTGTTATCAATAATTTTAACATACCCCATAATGACATAAAAAAAGAAAAAACCACGGTCGATGGATTGTCGAACAGATATGTAATCCTCGAGTGTAAACATGTTTCCTTTAGATCCCAATATCCACAAATATGATCACACAATGGACACATCTGGATAGTACCGTTACGATTACAAATATCTTCACTCGGATCATTGTAGTACAAAGTAGCGCAACTGTATATGAAGCACAAGAGACCGACGATACTGGCTGGAATCAGCATGTGAGTGTAAAATCCCAGCCAGGCGAAATAAAGTCCGATCTTCACCCCAAAGTACTCTTTGATATAATCCAAGGGCTGATAATGAAGGCATTTTCTCAAACTGGCCCATTCGGTGTACAAAAGATATCGCATTGAATCTGGAGTGTGCAGATTTCCCTGAAATATATAAATAGCATATTTATATATACCAAGTGACTCAAGTGAGTCATTTTGCTTTAGGGGCTCTAGAATAAATTTTTAAACCGCGACCACAATAATAAGATAAAGTAACTTACATCGTGAAGCGGATACGCTGCAACGTATACGTGTTCGGATATCAATCTTTCGATACCAAATGCGAAATCGTCCTCCTTGGTTTCCGTAAATCTAGTTCTGTCCAAGATAAATTGCACGATACGCGATCGAGTTGCCGGTGTGAAAAAATTTGGCGAATCCAGATCGAATAAATAATCTTTGTCTCTGCTATACACCGCTGTAAAGTTCTGCTTCATCGTCGGGAAGATAGTCGTGTCGACGTAATATTTGTTCATAATCCGTCGAAAAAATGAATTGACTTCCTTGATAATAACGTTACTGCTGGTTTCAGGCATTTGGCAACCAGGCAGTTCTCTCATTGGCAGTCGGAGTTTCAATATTTCGGCGTATCGTCGCAAAACTTCCTTGGGCGCGTGAATCTTTATAAAGTGCAAGCCGTTTGGTTCCGCTTGTTCGTACTCCAATTGTATTCCTTCTTTTTCCAGATTCTTCTCAAATATCTGAAATGAAAATATGATACGAATTTCATAAGTGCAAAACTGATTGTACATATTATTTAAATAACAATTTGTACTTACTCTTCTACGTTCGACGCTGCGATGAGTTTGTGCTTCTCTGTGATACTCGTCCCACACGAGTACGAAATCAACTGAGCGTATTTCATCATGAAAATATAAACTGTATCTGGTCCCGGAATAAGAAAGCTGGAATATATCAAAATATTATATTAATATCTTCTAAAAAACAGTCCAGTTTAACATAGTTCAACTTTATTCATCAGTCTCCAGTTACAGTTGACACAAATGAATTCATTAGTATTTCTTTGAACTTAGAAATAACTTCTAAAATTAGTACTTTTAAATATATTTTTAAAAATATTGTTAATCAATTCACATGTTATTAATTATTAAATACAATTATAAGTTAAAGTATATATTATATATGATAAAATAAAAATGATGAAAGGAACACAACGCTTAGCACATTATACGTAAATCATAGAACATATGAGAAGATTGATTCTTACCAATCTTGCATCATGTGCATTATTTTTCTTCTCTGTGTAGCTTCCTTCTAAAACTGTATCATTTGTGTCATTATTTACAGTGGACGAATCATCGGTATGTGTAGGGTAGAGATTATCCAGGGAGACTGCGCTGCGCATGCTGTTCACACTCATAGCGTCCTCGTACAAAGTGTTACGAACGCTTTGATACAATGTCTGTTGCGAGCCTTGATTCAAGCTGTTCTGCACCGACTGATACACGCTGGACCGAGCGCTAGACTCAGGAGCACTGCTTCGTCGTGGCGCGCATGTAAGAGAAACCTTGTCGTCATCCTCTTCCATCGCTCAATAAATTCGTCGATTGTCAAGCCCTACTTTTTGCAAACCAAACAAACATGTGCGTCATGCAAACCCAAGAGGAATCAGGAGTGCTGCGATCAAGAAGCATGGAGCAAGAAAAAAACGTTTCCATCGTTATCTTTTTATACAATAAAGGCAATATCTTAGCAATATGTGAGAATATGATTCGAACAGCGACAGGTGAAAGTTTGTAATTGAGAGGAGACCTCCCACATTTCTGCAACTTTGCAATACATTAACTCCATTGTCTAAACATACACATTTTTTAATATTATATTTATATATATACACAAGTATGATGTGCGTGTGTGTGGAAATAAAATCAACAATAAATTATAATCTGTTGCTTTCACTTTCACTTGCTAAAGCTAACCAAAATGTAACGTGCTTCCAAGATTAAGCTCGCGCCAGTAAAGTACGTACAATCGCGAGAATCCAAGCCCATTCTTCAGAAAACTGTTGCTCTTTTATTTTTATTCTTTTCCAACAATGTCATTGTTCGCGCAGAAAACATCGTGCGCTTACCTAATGCCCTCGGGTCCATTTATCGAGCGATACCGCCACGTCTATCTCTGGAAGACTACGTTGTGATCGAACTGCTTTTGCGAGGCACGGCTGCGTCGTCGTTGTAAAAATAAAAAAAAAACTGAGTAAGAATTTTATGACTGTTCCAGCTACATTATTTTAACTTCGAAACGACAGTTATACATGCTGTGTCACATACCGAATGATAGGAGCACGTCACGGCTCACGCGTGGCCGTCTCCATTTAAAGATCCCAGCCGTCCCAGGACCGGCGATATGCAGGCGCAGTAGCGTGCACGCACACGCGGTGTCCGTGGCCGTTGCGAGGTCATTGGAAGTCATGACTAATAGACTGAACAGTGAACCTTCGCGTTTGTTCATCCTACGGCTGCACGTTTACCGCCACGAAACACGAAATATATAACTATATACAGCTGTTTTATTTCTTACAATACGAGAAAATGATTCAAAACATAAAATATATTTCGTCGTAATTGTTAGGAAAAAGTGGATCCAGCAGAGAAGCAGAGATGTCTCATTTCTTACACGTCTAAAATTGTTAGACTTTAGACTTTTATTTTTAGATTTTATTTTTGTTCATCTAGAGAATTAAAATGATATATTTCAATTTTATTTATCACTTTTGCGCGTATGAGATACGTAAATTGTTCTCTCCCGTATTAGAAAATGTATAAAATGAATTATTTGACGAACTTAATATTAGCATGAGCGACTATCTCCGTGACTAGTTGATTAGTAAAGTACGTCCTGTATAATCACACATCTAGCAAAGAAATATATATATAGTATATATAACGTCGGAAGTGAATTTCCGCAGATATTACACGCTATCGTAAGAATTACCTCATTTAACGACTAGTTTTCCAGCCATTGTCGCAGTGTTATTTTATAAATTGGAAGTTTATATTTAAAATCCGTATACACGTCGGATACAAAAGTATCATTTTTCAGTAACAAATTTTATTTTTTACTAATTTGAGTGAACCATAAAAATGTTTATTATACAGATTATTATATAAATATTACTCGTATAAATGCTATATATACATATAATTATAGCTTTGTGCAAGAAACGCGTGCCCTATTCGTCAGTGTGCTTGTTATCCTATAAACAAGTTTGTAATATATTCAATAAAATACTTATTATTGAGATATAAGGATTACATGAATAGATCTTAATCGATACAGCTCTAGAGATACTTGTTCCTATATATTCCTATATATACACATTATGTACAGGAAAAAAGTAACATTTGTCAAATTATCAAATATGTAAATATATTACGCAGTTTCTGTATAAGTTTTACTATCCAAAAATTTATACGAAGTAAAATTAATTTATTACTTTGAATATTGTAAGAGATTGAAGGATTAATTTTTTTTAGCAGAAAATGAATATTTTGCAATCATACTTCCTGCATAACTAACGCATTGAGTTCTTCCTCTCCTGGACATAGCACTGCATCGATGTTATAAAAGGCGGCGTGAAGCGTTATCATGAACCAAGAAACTCCTGAAGGAAAAGAGCGAAGGTATACATTGTTTTCAATGCCAGAAAATTATTTACCTACCAAGTACCCAGAAGACAGCTGCGTGTGCACCAACTAGGTAAAATATTGGCAGCGAACAAATTCCAACTAAAGAATACACTTGCGCCAGGGTTAATCTATGATTCAGCACCATCAATTCCTG